AAAGCATGTTTTTTGAGTTCTCATAGATAAAAGGTTGGATTTTGTAGGTCAAATGCTTTCAGTAATTGTGTTGTGGCATTGAAGAAATGGTTAGTCATAAGCAATGTACACATTTTTCCTTCTGTACCTTGATGTGAATTTGGGAACCAAAATATTTTCTGTAGCTGCTTCTGTATTTGTGTGTTTCCATGTTCATGTGTATAGTTAGTGTTTCTTCTCAAGTCAGTACTGGGCTGAGTTTTTCTTGACATGAGAATTCTATGAACTGTTTGGGTATGTGCTAAGAACAGGTTCTTGTACTTGCTGTCAAGTTCATATTTGGTTTCTCTTTCTCCCACTTTTGGCCCAGATTGGGAGGGAGGGCAGACAGGCAAGAGGTGGAGACCCAAAGGACTCTCCCATGTGGTGGGCAGAAGTGACCAGATCAAGTTTAATGGGTGCATTAAAACACGGATTTTTGACAGCTTATTTGCTCGAGTCTTGAATGTCATGAACAGGAGCAGATCTAAATCCCATCTTAAAACACACTGTGGACAGTGCTGACGTGCCCCTTTTCCATCTGGCCTAAAAGGGAAGCTGCAAACAATGGCAACCACGCCTTTGTCCTCCTGCTTTCCCCTTCTTGCTCTGTGTAACATGGAGCTAAAACAGTTGCCAGTTTTGGCTTTAGCTTTTCTTGTCAAAATTGTCCTCTTTTTGCCAGCTGTTCCACAGTCTTACCACTGCCCTAAAGCTGCACTCTTTGGTACCTGTGTTCACTTAGAAAGTCATGAACATATTGTAGAAAATCCATTTTTTTCAGTTTTAGCTAAAAGTAAAAGAAATTAAATCTCGGAAATTAAAACAGTGCTTTTTCATTTGTTGGAATAAAGATTTTTTTGTGTGTGTGGCTTCCTAAAGAAGGGAGCCTTACAGGATTGAGCCATTTGTTCATCTGTTTTTCAGTTCATCCTTAATAACTTTTGAACAATTTCATCCAGATTCAACGAGGAATAAGAGTCTCAAAGGTAATTGGTTTTCTACAAGAAAACTGGAGGCTGGGTGGAGGAGAGAGACAAAAATAGGTGTCCCCATGTCTGTAGCATAAGCTTAACTCTAATCTGTGCTTAGGCTTTTGCTAGCCAAGTTGCAAGTGTGTCCTGGCTGCCTGGGTACTGCAGTCATCTCGGAGTTTCCAGAGCACGTTACTGAGCCTTGCTTAGGCACCAGCCACAGAAGGGGCCGTGAAAGGGAGGCAAGGGCACGGGGAATGGGGTTGGAGAGTAGTTTTATGGTCATAGACCAGTTTGCTTTCAAATTCCATACGATATTATTGCTTCTTCTTGATGCCTGACTCCTCAGAGGTTTGTCTGTCAAAGGTGCATCTGTGGTGTTTGCCTGGCTGTGAAATAACTCAAATGCAAGAAAGCATTTACATTGTGCTTAGAGAAACTCAGCATTTTGAAGTGCAGCTGGGCAGTTACTTTGGCAAATGTTTTATTCGCTCCTGGTTTAGGCTAGAAAGAACAAGCTGTGAATGTAGATGGAACTAACTCAGTAATTTCTGATGGAAAAAAAAGAGATGGCTGAAAAATAAAATTAAATTCCGGTAGTATTTTTTTTTCTGGGCTCAAGTCATTGCTTGAATGAACACTTTGAACGAAATTAGGATGGAAATGTAGAGGGGGGTGGTGACTCATGTAATGGGGGTTTACTTTCCTGAAATACATAAGCCCTGCATTTGCAACATAAGCCCTGCATTTGCAACATTTACTGAAGAACTTCAGTTTGTACAACCAAATTCATTATGTGTAAAATTTGCAAAATCTCCTGTTATCTCTTGCCTTTGGCAGAAGTAGGGCACTGGGCTTTCTTTCTCGTGTATGCATTTGATAAAATATTCATATTCCTGCATCTGTGGTGACTGTGTGAAGGAATCACCACCTGGAATTATTCACTGCCTACATCTCCGTGTTTTTCATTGGTTTCTTTTGTCCTGGGCGAGTACTGGAGATCCTGAGGGTTTTTGGAGCCGTGAGTCAGTGACAACCTCCTGCTATTATTGTAAATAGCAACGTGAACACTGTTCTTGCCTGCGTTTTTCCACGGGCTTTGTCTTTCTCGCCCAACACCGCAGCCAAGGAATTCAGCGAGCATCTGAGTCAGCAATCAGCTGCCTCGAGACAAAACATGCAGGATGCTGCAGAGCTGCAGAGCAGCCAGCAAGGCACACAAGTACCCTGGAAACCTGGCACACAGCTCTTGCCTGCCCTTGCTTTCCTCCTGTAATTTCCATGTTCTCTGACGTGTTGCTCGTGGGTTCCAAGGGCTCGGGGTGTTTACATCAGGAATGCAGAGTTCTAGGGAGTGACCTAATGTGGTGACTGAAGCCTTGGTGTTTCACCTGTGGGCATAACTGATTTCCCAGGCTGTGAAACGGGATTTGGGCACGGCTGCCGTGCTGAGGTGCCCCTTGGAATGTGCTGGCTCAAATGACCTGTTTTCTGCTGGCTTGGCAAACCGTGGACACACAGCAGGAGGTTCCTAGAGGGAAAGGAGGTTGGGTTTTAACTTTGGGGTCTTTGAGCAGTGCAAAACCAATGCTGCTTCACTTTGGTGAAAAACTACAGAAGCAAGAGTAAGAAATTATCCCTGTGCTGTCCTTACATCCTGGTATATCAGCAGTGCAATGTGGACTAACAGACCTAAATTGTGACTCCACTTAATTTAGGTCATGAAACGTCTATTGCTTTTTTTGAAGAAAAAATCCAAAACCCTGGTGTGAAGTGAGTGTTTGGGTGGTAGAGTGGAGGGAACGTAAGAGTATTCAGCTTGGAATGTTGTGCTGATTAATGAGACACATGACTTTAGACTGTAGGTATTTTATTATGTTTGTATGACACACAGACACTGAAATGATTCCTTCAGCGTTAGAGGTGTTTTGTTGGAGTGCATTATAATCATCTTAAGAACAAAAGAGGAGAGACAGACCTTCAATATCTGGTGAAGAGGGACTTTTTACAAGGACATGAATGATGGGACAAGTGGGAATGGCTTCAAATTGTTGTAGGGCAGATTTAGACTGGGTATTGGGAAGAAGTTCTTTACTGCAGGGGTGCTGAGACACTGGCACAGGCTGCCCAGAGAAGCTGTGGATGCCACATCCCTGGAAATGCTCAAGACCAGGTTAGATGGAGCTTGGAGCAGCCTGGTCTAGAGGGAGGTATCCCTGCCCATGGCAGGGCTGTTGGAACTAGGTGATCTTTTAGGTCCCTTTCAAACCAAACTGTTTTAGGGTTAGACTTAAGCCTCTATAGTAGTCCAGTGGTTTACCTGAGGTGCAAGCCTGAAGCATGTTTCCAGCTTCACAACGATGAAGTTAAGATGAAAAATAAGGAAAACAGTTCTAATTTGCTTAGTGAGCAGTACTGATATGGACATGGGCATCACTATCAACCAGTTAAAAAAAACAGCTTCATGGGTACTGAGTCCTCTAAGGTGGTTGTCCTAATAAAGTTAGAATTGCATTTTGTACTATAACCTGTTGTTGTACTTTGACTTCTGTAGGAACTTTTATTTTTAAAAACTACCAGTTTGTGGCTGTATGTAAACGTTTCCAGGTCTCCTTTGCTGTTTCTAAACATAAACAATAAGTAGCATGTTAGGCTGAAAAGCAGGAGTGCCCAAATAAACTACTGGAGAGAGCTGTTCATATGGGAGGGGAAGAGACATGAGCTGTAATGTTTGACTTGGCTTCCTGTCTGCTGGAAGCAGGAAAAGAGCTGGTGAGAATCTAAGAAGTTTTATCCAAGTCCACATATTTCCCTTTTTATCTTAATACCCTTTGCAAAAAAGCAAAGGGCAAAAAAGCACCTCAGAAGTGTTTTCACTTCCATAGTTTGTGCATGTGTTCCCATGCTGCCTTTATATCTGAAAGCAAACAGAACTACTCTTTCTCAGCAAGCAGGGTAATCTAGTGTATATACTTAGTGTTATGTATAAAAGAAAGAAAAAGGTTTATTATATATAAAAGAGAGAGAGGAAGGGACGATATCTATTCTTAAAACAAAATATCTAATTTAATTCTGTAGGCCTCCAGCCTGCTTCTGAGGGATCTCAGAAATGAGCAGCAGATCTGTCCCAGCAGATTAGAGCTACCACTTAAAATTTTGTATTTTGGACCTGCATATCAAAAGAAGTTGAAAACCACAGAATAGAGGAATTAGTATGGGAATCTTAGAAGGTTTGTGCACCAGCCACGTTTCACTCTTATGCTGCTCGTTTACTGTCAGAAATATGTGTATAGTCTTTAGGTAAGGGACATGTTTATACTGCTTGATGCAACACAGACAGGCTTCCTTTTTTCAGCCTTGACATATTTTCCTAAGAAATGGATTGCTATTAGCAGGTTTAACTTACTTTTAAGATCACAGTAACCATCACTGTGCAAAAACCAGTCTTGGCAAGGACTCTATATCAGCTTGTGCTATGCCATCCTCTCTCATCTCTATTTATCATCACCAAAGACACATGTCTTTTTAGAATGAAGGCACCAAAGCTTATTTAACTGATGGAGTACCAACTCTTGAAGTGCTTTGTGGCAGTAGTGTTTTTAAGACCAGCCCATAACCATTGCTGTGGTGTTACATGGTAACACAGTAGGTGTGCCTGTTCTGTTTTACAGCCTCTGCCCTCTTCCAGACATCATGTAACATCTGCCTGTTTGCTTGTAATTTCTCTGCTCTTCATGCAGAATGAGTTTTGGTAAAACTTCCAAGGCACTGGCTCAGGTTAAAGTATTTTGTGATTTAACAGAGAAGTGAGATGTACTGCTGTCTGCAGTGAGGCTCAGTGAACTCTGGAAGCCTCTGCTCCAGTCAGCTTGGGCAGGAATCCTCGGGATATCAATTAGCTGAGGACTGACTGGGAATCTGGGCTCTGGGTTCAGCAGGCTTAGACAAATTTTGGAACAAAAAAGAAAGAGCAAGTTCAAGTTACACTTTCTTCTTTTTATTTTATAGGTTAATAATGCTTGTAAGCCAGAGGTGAAAGTGGCTCAGCAGAGCAACATCAGGAAATCTGGCAGACTGGAAGAGCACAGCTGCCTCCCTGGGCAGCTGCCACGTGTTGAAGCATGGAGGAAAGTAAAAACGAGAAGGTGAACCAGGCTCATGTTCTCTTCGATAGATTTGTCCAGGCTTCCACCTGCAAGGGGACTCTGAAGGCTTTCCAGGAGCTCTGTGACTACCTAGAGCTAAAGCCCAAGGACTATCGTTCCTTCTATCACAAACTCAAGTCCAAGCTCAATTACTGGAAAGCCAAAGCCTTGTGGGCCAAATTGGATAAAAGAGGCAGCCACAAGGACTACAAGAAAGGGAAAGCATGCGCCAACACGAAGGTAAGAGGTTCAGCTTTTACCCAATCCTCTGGGGCACACAGCAAAAAGGGATGGATGTACAAAGATGTTCCTGGTGTCACTGTAAGCCATGGGAAGTTTCAGGAATGTTCTCACAATTTGAACATTTGATCACGTGACTGCCCACCTGAATGTTTGTATTTTATTCAGGAGAAGCAGCCAGCAAGTTTTTACATTGAAAGTTTTTGTGGCATCTACAGATAGATGGCTTGGAAAATCTTAATTGGTAAACCTTTAATCTTGGTTGACTTCTTTTTGCATTTTGACAGTAACAGGAATGTGTGCTGTTGGAGTCTAGGATACAAAATATGCATGTTTGGAAATTTCCAGTTTTAATATGAAAATTCTCATGACTCTCAAGAAAACTGAACTTTTCTGCCAATTTGACAAAACAGACTGCTTCCCATTTTTTAGAAAGTGATCATCCATATTCTAGATTCAAAGAAAAAAAATGCTGTGGAAACTCATACCAATTCTTTTTAAAAGGTTGGTATGTGTGGTATTTACTGCAGGAATTCCTGCTTTTACACACACATACACAGCATTTTACTTTTTTTTTTAACCTGAATTATTGTGAGCTGGCATTTAAGTGCTGCACCTCTTGGACAATGCAGTTTGAAAGCAGTTCTTTATATCATTTATTGAAATGTGAGTAGAATAGGTTGGTTTTGTAAATGATCAAGCAATTTTTTTTTAAAGGCAAATAGTGCAGAATAGGATAAAATTAGAACAGGATTCTGTCCTCCTTCATTGAGGACAATAGATGCTGCTCTTTCTCAAAATAGTCACCTTTTAAGAGAAGGAAATACTTTAATTGGAAGAATTAATGACTAATTCTTCAGTATAGAATTGAGGGAGAAATGTATCTTGTTTAGAGAATTTAATTTCAAATCTGTGGACTTAGCTTTCTAATATCAAGTTCCAGGAAAATATGTTAGTTTCTTAATTGTTAATTTTGTTTCACTTTCCAGTGGTTATTTTCATATGGATGGAGGCATTTATAATAGTAACACTTGGTAAACTCATTTATTATAAAGTAATTCATTTATAATGAATTACTGTAGTAACATTCTGAAAATCAAACAATTTGGCACTGCTGGTGGTCACAGTGGGTAAGTAGCTTCAACACCTCAAAAAATGCAGCTGTTAAAGTTTACAATTTTCAGGCAACATTAGAAAGGAAGGATTTACCAGAAAATAAATGTAGTAGGTTTTATATATGCTTAGGAATAAGCCTTGCAAGCACTATGAGCATCATGGGAAAAACTCTAAATTTTCTGCAAAATTGATTGCCCTGTGCATTCATTAGATTCAGGAATTGCTCTTGCTTTGAATGAAGCATAATGGGTTGAACTGAACTCGGGTGTTTAAGTCTGTGAAATGAAGATAGGTGGTTTATGTTTTTATGACAAAGAGATGGAGGTTTTTAATTTATTTGAATAATAGACTATAAGAGTGATTTTTGCATCTTAGGCTTTGACTGTATTTGTTAATAGTGTGAAAAAGGGGGGTTCAATAATAGAGATGAAACATTAAAGAAGGGATTTAATGGGCAGGTAAGTGGATAGTGCTTGACTGTGAGAGCATATGAAAAACCAGGTGTGAGTGGAGGGTGACATCCAGCTATGAAAGGCATTCAGAAAATCGAGTGTGACATTTATATTGATGAGAAGTGGTGAACTGAGTTTAGAAGGACATCAGAGCTCCATGTGGTTGTGTTGGGCTTGGATTAACGACTAGGCAGCCACGGGGAAATCTTCCTCAGAAAGGCAGAGATTCTAGCTTGGCCAAAAAGTAGCCAACTCTTGAGTTGGAGAAGTTTTTGTGAATTGACAGCTCTGACAAAGCTGATTGAACCAGTGTCTCTGAATGAGGTGATTTTATAGAGGAAGATCACACGTGAGATCATGGGTGAAGCCCCCTGGGAAGTTGGCAGTGAGAGGAATGAGAGAAATCAGATGGTGCTCTGAAAGAATATCTGGAGACCCAGAGGAGTACTGAGGCTCAAAAGTTATCAGAAAAGGGTGTGCTTTGAAACATCTCTAAAACATCTCTAAAATGTCTCTTCAAGTGCAGTTATGAAGTGGATAAAAGGAGTGAAGCATCCTGGGAGTGATGTTTGACTGAAGAGTTTGCTAGGGATTTTGTATCATCCAAAAGCTGAACCTATTTCTTACACCAAACCAAGTTAAAGAATGAGAATGGAATTGGAGAACTGGGATCAAGAGAGTGACTGTAGAATGTGGTGGAGTGGTGGTGAGATAAACAGGGAAGCTCATGAGGTCATTTGGGACTGTCCCTCATTGAATGATGAGAGACAAACCTCAGAACTTGCTGGTGTGAAGGGTCACGGTGATGGGAGTGGGCAATGACTGCAGTGGATGTATTTTTTAAACTCAACTTTACTATGTATTCCTCATATCTTTTCATATATGTGTCTATTAATTTCTTGTTACCTATCCAAATAGTATCTGCCATTAAATGTTTAAATGTAGTTCCTAAGAGATAATCATAACTGTTCAAAGCAGAGGACTTTTGAGAACTGAGTCATGTCTGATTTGATGTTTCCTAACTCACTTAGCTTTATATTCCTAATGTTTAATGTAATTTGCAAACTTCTGATTAAAAGGTACAGAAATTTAAGTGGGCATGTGGAGATGATAGAATTTAAAATAAAGATTAGGGTTTTATCCATGTCAGAAGTCAGTAATTTCTTTAGGAAGCCTGGCTTCTGTACACTTGAACATAAACCAGTTCTGAAGTTTTCATACTTTGTATGATAGCTCTTAATTGCCCATTTAGAAATCGTTCAGGGATGAGGTGCTGTGCCTGGAGTTGGGCAGTTTGTGCACGTGGCCAGCATCCAGGCTAACCAGAATTCAGATCATCAGAGTTCATGAAAGCATCTAGGACGTGATTGTTGGTTCAAATGTAAATAGTTATAATTGGTGCTCTCTCTTCATTGGTTATACAGAGAATACAGCATTTCAGTTTGCATTTAATGTTCCATTACCATGGCATTGTTACTGGAAACTTAATATAATCTGTCTGAAAGATCTTGAGCAAGAAGTGTTTTTGAAGGGTGAGACAGCTTCAGTGCAGGGAGTTGCAGCAATTGCTTGGAGTCACTGAGGGGAAAGGGAACAAGGAATAACAGTAGCTGCCTTTATTTAGCTGTACTTGGCATGTCATGGAGTTACTGCTGACTGAGAGTATCAGAAGTTGGGTTTTTATGGAAAACCATTAGAGGTGGAAAAGAATATTTTCTCTTTTTAATTGTGCTTAGAATTTATATTTCGTAACAATTTAATGTTTTTGCAATGGTATTTAGAAAAAGGCAACTCTGACCATAAATTCCTTACTTAAGTATTTTACATTCAGAACATCTAGACATAACCTAAATGCTTTTAACCACATCCTACTATGATGGATGGATAGAGGAAGGATGGAGAGGAAAAAACCTTTTAAGTTCCTGTGACAATATTGCAGTAAACTGAAACTAAAAACTAGTTTATAATTTCATGAAACCTGAGTTTGAATAGGCTGATTTTAGTACAATTAGAACGAAGTGCCGCTGTGTACTCCATCATAAATATTTTGTATGTGGAAATTTGTCAAAGAATTTGTCAAGAAAGTCACCCAATTCAGTGTGTTCTTGTTGCTTATTGAAATCCAGGCTCTTTGAAGATTGTAGTTGTCAGCCAAGCAAATTACCTGGATAAGTATGCTATACTGAGCTAATTTTCTGAAAAGTTTAAAAAAAGAAAGACAAGGTGGTGTTTGGGAGTTGCACTTAGCTACAAAGAAAGCAATACTAAATTGGAAGAATATAGTAGATCCTAATTGAGGATTCCTTATATCAAATTCCAAGATGAACACCTGTTAATATACAATTTTATGTAGGTATTTATTACTCAGAGGTTGGGTGTGCCTTTTGTTCCAAATGCTTTCGGGTTCCTGAAGCCACTAAAGAAGCAGTGGTGTTATTATTCCCTTCCCTTTTCTCTAGACTTGGATTCTGCCCTCAGATGGAACTTCTTATCTTACTCAGGAGTCCTACGTGGAATTTGCATGCCAATAGCTGTGTCATCACTGCTGTAACTTGTACTGGTTTTTCATCATTCAGGCTTTACATTTGCAGTTTCATGGTGCTTGCAGAGTTTATGGCCAGGTGAATAAGTGGTGAGAATGTGGCAGCCTGTAAAAATTGTCAGATGGGGATGACAGGACACCACTGAACACTAAAGTTTTGCTTTTTGGGATTAGTTCTTTTCAGAACACCGGCTCATGGTTAAATTTTGGCATATTTAAAAGAATTTCTCATAGAGCTTTCTCATGCAGCCAAAAGGATCTGGAAAAGGCATGCAGCATTCAACAGCCAGCTCTGTAACAAGGTCTTTATTCTGTGTCTCTGGTTTACTCAGTAGCAATCAAAGTACAATAATGATATGACAAATTGGACTGTGTACTGTATTTATGACTGCACGTACCAACACTTTCTCTCTGGACCTCAGTTTCTGTGGGTAAGAAGTGTCTCCTGACTATCTTGGGTCTTTAATCAGAAATTATTTTGCTGTATCAGAAGGTACTTCAATGCTAGACATGCACGTATTTTACATTCTCAAGCTGTTTATTAGTGTCTCATGGTGTTTGTGAGTAGAGTGAAAAAAGATAAGAGAAAGTGAGAGCTTTCATGGGACAAAGGTAGGGTTGGAAAAATGTGTCTGGTCACACAAAGTTTGTGTTTACGTGATGTTCACTTCCCTGAAGGCTCCTTTGCTGCAGTAGTAGAATCACCAAAGCACCAACAAAGGCATGATTTGGAGTGCTCTGACTTGGCTACTCTGTGTTACTCTGTTATTCTAAATGATGATGTTTATGAAAACATTAGTGTCTTGTGTTTATCTGCTGTTGCAATGCTACTGAAGATTCTCTTAAGAAAGGCCAGCTCAGGGTTTGGAAGATGAGAGGAAAACTTATCACTGGTTTTGTTTTAGTTTTCTGGGGGTTGTTTTGGGTTTGTTTTGTTTTGTTTTAAGAAAAAAAAAAATGTGTGGGAGGGAGAATCCTTGAGAAATATTGTTGTTTTCCAGGTACTTGTATAGCTTGGAGAGAGAGACTTGGCAGCTCTTCTTAGACAAGTGGTGCAAGCACTGAAGTGGTTGCCTGCTTCCTGAGTCTTTCCACTGCCCTGCAATATATTTCATTTTCAGGTCGTGGTTTCTGCTTATCAATGGTAGAACTTGGCAGGTAGAAATAGAAAGACTGATCTGAAATTTCAGTTTATGTTTCAGACAGAGAGCACTTATCCCTGAGAGCCACAGGATGCTGAGAAGCTGCAGCAGCAGCAATATCCATTTCCTGCAAGGGCTGTGCAGTTACCGTGTGCTGGTTGTTTTGCAGTGTCTGATCATTGGGGCTGGACCCTGTGGCCTTCGTACAGCCATCGACCTGTCATTCCTGGGAGCCAAGGTGGTGGTCATCGAGAAGAGGGACGCCTTTTCCCGCAACAACGTGCTGCACCTCTGGCCATTCACCATCCACGACCTGAGGGGCCTGGGCGCCAAAAAATTCTACGGCAAATTCTGTGCAGGGTCCATCGACCACATCAGTGAGTACAGCCAGGGCTGGCACAGCAGCTCTGCTGATTCCTGGGGGGAACAAGGTGAAGGTGTGGAGTCATTGAGCCTACACCAGTGCCTGCTCTCCACTCGTTATTCATCATTACCTTGGCATCGTGCATTCTGGGCTAATCATGACATAAACACATGCAGTGTTTATCTGTCATCTCTTAGGCATAGCTATATCCTACACTGAAAAGTACACTTAAAGCTCAAACTATTTTTTTTTTTCCTAATGGATAATTTTTCTATTTTTTGCTGATACATTCCTGCAGCTGCCACTTTATTCTGTTTCTCTTGAGCAACTTATAAAGAAAAATTATACATGCTTTTGAACATTCTTGTGAATTTCAGTGTGGAGAAAGGAGGAATGGTTTTGGCTTTGTTAATTTTCAGAAGAGTGATGAAGATACGTTTTGATTAAATAGATTATTATGTGTTAAAATTGAGAATAATCTTAATGATTTTTGAATTCTGTTAAATCAGTCTTCTTTGAAAGCTGAATGCTTTGGTGGAGCAGGAGTTACTTTTCTTTTTTCTTCCCCAAAATTGACTGTACATGGCACAGCCAGGTGGTGCCCACCAGTCTGTGTTCTTTTTTTTTTTTTTAATTTGGCCACAAATGGTAAAACGGAAGGTCTTCATAACTTCAGTCTTGCAGATTGCTTTTTCCTTCTAATTTCTTTTCATTTTTCTTCTTTCAATCTTCATGCATCTTGTCTTTTTTGTGTATCAGTACAACTAAAATTTAGTGTTTAGGTGAAAGATTTTTTCATTTCAGTATCTGAAACATGACAGTAAGGTGTTTTCCTTCAAATTGATTGAGTTTGCACACTGTAATTTTCATTCTCATTGCCAAAGTTACTTGAAGGGGAAAGAAGTGGTGAGAAGCTTCCTATGCCCTCACTAACCCAGGGGTGTTGGGATGGAGGAGCAGGTTGGTATTACAGCCAGGCTGATCCAGTGACTCTTTGCCATCTGTGACAAGTGCAGTCCTGCCTGTGCTGCCTTCCCTCCCTGTCCTGCAGTTCATGTCCTGGTTATTTCCCTTGTTGCTGATTAGGGGACTGAAACATCAAAAAAATTACTTTTTTTTCCTTTGAAAAGGGTTGGGTTTTCAGCTGTGTAGAATTTTCTTAGCATGCTGTGATATCACACACCAGTGGTGTCTGGATGAAGTGCTGGGAACACTGTGGGGAAAAAGAAAATAGCAACTGGCCTTTAAGTCAGGGTATCAGTAATGTCACACACACAGGCACTTGTGCTCTTTTCTTTTTCTTCTTTTTTTCTTCTTCTTTTTCTTCACTTTCTTTATCATCTGCCTTTTTTTTTTTTTGCAGGTATCCGTCAGCTCCAGCTCATCCTTTTGAAGGTTGCCTTGATCTTGGGAATAGAGATCCACGTCAATGTGGAGTTTCGGGGGCTCGTTTACCCTCCAGAGGACCAGGAGAATGAAAGCAAGTAGCACTGAAATGGGCAGTAGAGGAGGGGGAAGTTTTTGTTGGATACACAGGCTCCTACTCCTTAACTCTGCTTGTGGTGTTAAGTCCTTTCCTCGTGCTCCATTAATAAGAATAGTTATTAATCCATTTTTGCTTGGATTCTTAGTAGGATTTGTTTTTTCTAGTGACAAATCCAAATTAGTTACTGTATGAAACAAAGTCACCAGAAGGACTACACAAAAATAGACCAAGACATGGGTAAATTGTAAATGCTTCTAAAATACTTAATCCTATTACATAACATTCTGATAACATTTTTAAACAACTCCTTTCTTTGCATTCACTGAGGATATTTATATTGGTGAATGATCCTTGTTATGTTTTTATTATCACTGTGAAACCTGTTCTCTGATCACCACAGGAATGTAGCTTACTTATTTTTTGGCCTTTTATTAATTGCATAGAGAAGTTTGTAGTGGCCTTTAAAAGGAATTGAGGGAGTTTTAGCAGAACTGTGTCTCTGATTCATGTGCAATAGCTGCACCGTTCAGGAATAGCCCTGTCATCAATGTAGCTGTCCTGCAGGGTTTGACTGATCATGTGTTGAGGGATTTATTGATAGTGACAACTGGTTTTATAATTTTTTTTCCTATTGTTATTGCCTTTTATGTTGTCATTAACTTGGAGTTTATCTACAGGAATAGGTTGGCGTGCATTGGTCCACCCCAAAACCCATCCAGTGTCTGAGTATGAGTTTGAAGTAATCATTGGAGGGGATGGCAGGAGAAACACCTTAGAAGGTAATGGTGTGTCCATAATTCACCTCCAAACAGAACTAATTCTTAAATTTGTTAGAACAAAAGTGGCCTTTAACATGTCAATCAGCATCTGGAAAGACACTTGACAAGTAATTGGGAGATTAAAAGTCCATGTAAAAATCCACTTGTAGCAAAGACATGGGTGGTCTTTGTTTTCTTCCTCTAAACTAATAAATACATAAGGGGTTTTGATCTGGATAATTTTTCCTACGTGTTTTATTTAGCCTGAGTAGTGGTGTCACTCCTACCTTCAGGTGTAGGAATTGAGGTGCTGAATGTTATTCTGTGTAGCAGAGAATCCCATATTTATATTTTTTTTTAATGGAAATTGCAGCTTTGGGAAGAGAGATGAGAGAGGGGGTTGTGGGGAGCTTTTTCTCTAAACAACATTTACTTTTCTGATGAAGCAATTGTTCTTTCCTCTGCGGAGGAGTTTGTAACTCATCAATTCCCTCCTCTCTCTTTACTTTGTGAGTGGCCCTGTCTATGACATCCTGAGCCTTGTCTGAAGGTGTGTCTGGTTTTCAGCATTGCAACTTTATCCTTCCTTTCTCCTGTAGGGTTTCGCCGGAAAGAATTCCGTGGTAAACTTGCAATTGCTATCACGGCAAACTTCATCAACCGCAACACCACAGCTGAAGCCAAAGTAGAAGAGATCAGTGGCGTGGCCTTCATCTTCAACCAGAAGTTCTTCCAGGATCTCCGAGATGCCACAGGTTTGACAGCACTTCTCACATCTCCACTGAAAATTATTTGTCTTTATTATGACAATTTGCAGTTCAGGTTTGTGTGTTTAATCCAGAAACAAGCGCCTTGTGCAAGGCAGTCGGTCTTTGCTGTCTCTGAAATCTGACTTCCCTATTTTTGCAGCTGTTCTGCTCTACAAAGCAGATGTGTGTCATTTTGGTTCAGAAGTGGAGAACTTACAGTTTTCACAAAATCAGAACCCTAAATGGGAAGAGGTCATGAATCCAGAGTTCTACTCTTTGCACTCCACATCTGAATGCAAACCTTAGAGTGATAATAAATGGATTTTTAAAAAGAGGTAGCTTTATGCAGGTGAAATGTACTGTTTGTGGTTTTGTTGACAATTTCAGATTTTAAAGTCACCTAGGGCATGGGAGAAAGTTGCTTGGCATTCCCTCTGACTTTTTCTAATTGTGCAGTTTCAATTTTCTTTCTTCTGGTAGAACTTTGTTGCACGTAACTCCTAACTTGTTCCTTCACTACCATGTACTTTGTTCTGTCACAAGGCATTGACTTGGAGAACATTGTCTACTACAAAGATGATACACACTACTTTGTCATGACTGCCAAAAAGCAGAGCTTGCTGGATAAAGGAGTGATACGACATGTGGGTATTAACTTCTTCTCTATTCTCTGTAAGCTAAAATTGTGGTGACAATTTACTTTTGGTAAGGTGAAAGTAGGAAAATGTACTTTTCCTCCATCACATAATGTTTTTATATAGCTCTTATTTTAGAACATGAATGTAATTGTATTCTAAAAGGCAATTAATGCCCTTCTGAAGTATTTTAAACTATCAGACAAGTGTTACAAAACCTGTCCTTTTCAAATTTGTCTCCCTTTGTAGATTTGAAAGTTTTGTTCATGCTAAGATAAAATATGCTGAAAGAACATTTGATAGCTTAGTTGAACTTCCCTCATTTTATGGGAATGAAAAATGCTTAAAAGTTTCTTAGCCCTTTGGCAGTCAGAAATTCAAGCAGGACTGGTTACTGTTTGCAATAAAAGATTTATAGATTTTATCCTGGAAGCATTAACACAGATCGGAACGAAAGAAATTAGCAGGCAAATTTGTATGAGTGGATTTGTCAGAATTTTAATGCCAACTACCCTATATACCAATCTCAAAATAAACTTGTGGGTTTGACCAGGCCACTTTCACTTTGCTGGTTTTGGCAGGACCACGCCGACACCGAGGTGCTGCTCTCACGGGAGAACGTGGACCAGGAGGCTTTGCTGAACTACGCCAGGGAAGCAGCAGATTTCTCCACTAACCAGCAGCTGCCATCCCTGGACTTTGCCATCAACCACTACGGGCAGCCCGACGTGGCCATGTTTGACTTCACGTGCATGTACGCGTCCGAGAACGCGGCCCTGGTGCGCGAGCAGAACGGCCACCAGCTCCTCGTGGCTCTGGTCGGGGACAGCCTGCTCGAGGTGTGTGCTCAGCTTCTTGGGGCTGTGAGCTCTGAGTGTGAGCCCAAAGCTTTGCAGCCATCACTGAAAGATGTGCTGCTGTTTATCACAGGATAAAGCGGGAGGTTCGAAGGAAAGGGTGGGAGTGTTGGGAAAGCAGAATTTTTAGCGTGGTAATGATCTCTCTGAGGAAAATGTGTGCAGGGCTTTTTCTGAAGTTCTGTCTGTTCCATCTGCTTCTTGTTGGGATGAGTTGACTCTCCACAGAACTTAATGTAGGCCTGCCAATAATTAGCATTTTGTAGTTGGTTGAAGAGTACTGTCTTGAAGAGAAGCTGTTAAGGCACTCCAGGCTATGAAATACTGTTGGAAATAGAGGGACATTGGCTTTGGGAGAGCTCGTGAGCTGTTCATTGTACATCTGGTTTCCTCTAACCCAGTGGGAGTGGAGCTTGAAGCTAATTACTGAGTTATAATTTCCCAGCAGATTACTGCCTGAATATGTACTTGATACTTCTTTGAAATTTTCCCTAAGTGATGCTTTTCCTTTCTCTGCTTTTTTTTTTTTTGGTAACCTATAATATCAGCCGTTTTGGCCAATGGGAACTGGAATAGCCAGGGGATTTTTGGCTGCAATGGACTCTGCCTGGATGGTACGAAGTTGGTCACTTGGAGCTAGTCCTTTGGAAGTTCTTGCAGAGAGGTAATGGAGAAAGTGAATACATTCACAGTTCTAATCCAATCCTCCAACATCACATCATTCATTCCAGTTTCTTTTAGTACAAATATGTAGACAGAATGGGAGATACAGACTCACTGTTATTAGAGAATGCTTGAGGGTATAACTGAATTGAAGAAAAAGAAATTTCAAAGGAGTTGATAAACTGAAGTATATGGAGGAGTAAGAAATGTAAGAATATTCCTGATCTTAATTTTAAAAGATTAAATGAGGAATCTTCTTTTAAGGTGTTTATTGACATTCCATGGACAAAGTGAGCCTGACAAAGTGTCACCAGCCCTTCAGTGGCAAACCAGATGAAGATGTAGGTGCCTTGAAAGTACCAGATACAAAAGTTCTTTCTATCTCCTACTATCTTGAGAATACTTTTTATTATTTCCTTTTAAGGAAACTGTGACCTGCTATTTTTCATGTTGTCCTTGGTCACTTTGTTTCATGTAAGCCAAACAGCATCTTGTCTCTTTTGAAGTATTGAGTTCTTGATGTTTTAATCAGCTTTGCCTGAATGTTGTTTTGGTGACTCAAGGTGCTCTCTTGGAGATCAGAACATGGATAATTAGAAGATGGAGTAAGTAAAAGCAGCAGTTTGTAGGTTCTGTTTTAAAATTCAGCAACTGCAGCTTCTGACCATCAGGAACCACAGTATAATTTCTAAAATTGTGCAATGGCACAGTTCATACTTAAAATTCCATTTGTTTGAATTTTAAAAAAACAGTGAGGAAAATAATACTGCTGTTGAAGCCAGAGTTGATCACCTTTCCATTACCTACTTCAGACAGCAGTAAGATCTTCCCTGAGCTTTCTCTTCCACATACTGAACAAACTCCTTTCTCTTGGCCTTTCCTCACAGGGCAAATGCTCCAGGCCCCTTGGTGGCCCCTCTTCCTGAGCCCCTCCAATGTCTCAGTGTCTTTATTGTACTGGGAAGCCCCTACAGTTTTGCTTAGTGTATCGTTCTCTTCCCTCCTTTGGAATTCTCAAGTAGTATTAAAGTGCAGATTTTAATATGATTATGCTGACTCTTAGCTATGCAGTGTCTGAAGTGGTTAGATTTCTGATTTGAATGTTTATCTCTCCAGAGTTTACTTAGCCATAGTAGTAGTGATGCATCTCTTAAAAAAAGCAAACAAAGCAGAACAAAACCTCAAACCAGCCAAAACAAACAAAAAACCCCAAACCACCACAAAGCCTCAACAAAACAAACGACCCAAAACAAAACCCCAAACTTTTTTTTATGTTTTTTTTTCCCAAGGGAAAGCATTTACAGGCTGCTGCCTCAGACCACCCCAGAGAACGTGAGTAAAAACTTCAGCCATTACAGCATTGATCCTGCCACCCGATATCCCAACATCAACGTCAACTTCCTGCGGCCACAGCAGGTAAATCACAAACCGTGCTGCTGAGGGCTTGTGATCTGCAGTGTCTTTGCTCAGGCAAAGCTGTGCCAATGTTTTGGGAGCAGAGAGTGATGTGTTAAAACATGGAAGCAGTGAAAGGCACATGCATCGGTCAAGAGTAGATTTCAGTGCTTGAACAAATTCTTTTTTAGGAATGTTTGATTTTGATAATTTTAACTATAATGTAATGATACAGGAAACCTATAAATGTGTGTTTTCTGTGTGTGCATGTGCATTTTCTTTGTAATAATCCAGACTAACAGTCACTCATTGCAATTTGGTATCCAGTGAGCAGCAGCAGTCAGCTGGACTGTTCAGCACTGATGAGCTGATCCTCTCTGTTGTGAGGTTCTTGGGGTAGGATTTTTGCTACCTGCATGTACTTATCTTCCTTTTTGTACCTTGGGATATCTCCTTATTGTCTTCTGGTTATTTCTGTGTTCATCTGGGGTACATGGCAAGTTGATAATCTTGAATGTTTTTGGGTGTCATTTTAGGTACGCCACTTGTATAATACAGGAGACTTGAAAGACATTCACCTGGAGATAGAGAACTTTGTGAACTCCAGGACACCAAAGCTGACTCGAAATGGTAGGCCTGGCTGCTGTCCTATTCCTTTTGGTATTCTGGAGCTGGATCAGTGCAGGAACTAGAGAGCAGCAGGGCTGTAGTAGTCTCTGCATTAAGAAAATTTATCCATTAATTGTTTTGTCAACAGTCTGAGCTTACAATTTTTCAAGCTTCCATTAGCATGGGAATTTATTTTTGTTTGCCTAATTTTCCTTGCCTTATAATGCTGTTAATTTTCTAAGCATATTTGTTTGTATAGGCACTTCTTTTCACCTCCTTTATCTCTAACAATGTCCTTGCTTAAAGTGCAGAAGGCTGGACTGAGTTCACTGTAACAGTAGACTCAGAACTCTTACAAATGTAACAAGGTATTGCTTGTGCAGTCTTGCATGTTCCTGCTTTCCTTTTCTTCATCTTGTCTCTCAACTAAATGAAACCTCACTTTGCTTGCATTATTCTGAGAGCTGGATGCCTTGTGATAAGCATTTCAGGATCTGCCTAGTTGTCTCTACCCTGAGGGCTATGTCAGACTTTTCCTTTTGCACACCTTGTCTTGGATGCCCAGATAGTGTTTTGGGATTCCCAGAGTGGCTCTTTGCTGCTAAGCCTCCCTTTCACTGCTGAATGACTGTGTAGTCTCTGCTCTTTGCCCTGCAGCCATGTCCCTTTAGGCTGTAATCTCATCAGATCTTCTGGTAAGACAAGGTCAGAATAGGTCAGCACTTTAAAGGAAAGTTTTCAAGGGAGAAGTTACAGAAGTGCATTTGCCGTTCTTCCTCTAGAAATAGAATATATCTGGGCTTAGAGAGCATTGCTACTATATGTCCTTTTGATCATATTTAACAAGCCTTTGCAACTGTTTTGTATTTCCTGGGGCTCTTTTACAATGACTAGGGTGAAAAGTCTGGCAAGTTACAACTTAGATAATTACTTTTCAGCAAATTAAAAATGCTTCCTTAGATTTAAAATTGATATGATAGAATTTAAAAATAAATAATAATCCTGTCCTCCATTACCCATTGTAGAAGGAGCTTGTTTTTTACATTAAGATTTTGCTTGTTGATTCCTGGGATTTGTGTTGTATTTAGAATTTAAACTGTTGTGCATTTCTATTTTGAAATGTGCTATATTTTTTACAGAGTCTGTAGCTCGCTCTAGTAAATTGCTCAGTTGGTGCCAGAGGCAGACTGATGGATATGCTGGTGTTAATGTGACAGATCTCACAATGTCATGGAAAAGTGGCTTAGCTCTGTGTGCCATTATCCACAGATACCGTCCAGACTTAATGTGAGTAACTGGCTGCTTCAAATCACTGGGAAGAGCAGGAAATGAGTGGTGTTTGGAACTAATAATATAGAGTTGGAGGCAGTGCATTTGTGACTTATGAAGAAATGGATTGAAATTAATTCAATTAAACTTGATAGAAACCAACATCCAATGATTCACTAGCAGAGTGGAAGGTCATGATAGCTTGATGAATTTGAAAATAACCGTGTTGTCATTTTCCCTTCTGGATGATTTGGCAGAATTAAGCTTCAAATTACTACTGACTGGAAAGCATTATTGACTGACAGATTTTATGTGTGAAGTGGGTAAGGAACAGTTCACAGCTTCAGTTAAATCTCTTGTGAACAAGTCTCTGCACGATCCTTTATAAATTTCCTGTTTAACAGAACAACTCTTACTAAAGATTTTCAGGCTGCTCTTTCTAGAAGTAGTGACCCACAGCCTAAATAGAGAGGTTGTTACTGTTTGCACAGTCACTTATTGGCTGGGTGAATGGCAGAGGTGTCCTCTGCAGTGATGTATTGGGTAAAACAGTGCCCAGAATCTAGAATGGGAAAACACTGCCTGGAAAAAGTGATGATAGCAAAGACTCTGGTACTTGAATCTGCAATATCCAACGTGACATCAGAAAAAGTAAATTCTAGAGCTGTACTTGAAGACATAATCCACTGTAAAACATACTGAAAAATTGTGGAGTTATTCCAATCCATATGCACTGAATTACTTCTTCAAGTACTTGGTGTACTTGAGTTAACTTGAGCTGCACAAAGTGTTTAATAGCTTTATAGCTTGTGGGGAGTTCAAACAACTTTTAAAATGGTTAATGTAACTCTCTACAAGCTATAGCTATAGCTTTTTATACAGTTATATAGTTATACAAGTTTTGGAAAGAGCCAGCAGAACAAGAATATGAATCAGACAAGGAAAAAGAGGACAAAAAGTCAACATTTAATTTAGTTTGCTGTCATTAAGTAGCATCAACTTTGCCATGTTGGTGGCAAGTAAAATTAAGATTTCAACTGAAAAATAAAAAGATGGATGTTTCAGTTCTTTCAGAAGACTAGTTTCTACTTGATTCAGTGCAAGGCCTCTTTTTGCCCTTTGCAGAGACTTTGATTCCTTGGATGAGCACAATGTGGAGAAGAATAACCAACTGGCCTTTGACATCGCTGAGAAGGAGTTTGGGATATCTCCCATTATGACTGGAAAGGAAATGGCATCTGTTGGAGAGCCAGATAAGCTGTCCATGGTGATGTACCTCACACAGTTTTATGAGATGTTCAAAGACACCATCCCCTCTAGTGGTAAGCAGTTTGGGGCTCTTGTGTCAGATTTGAAGGCTGCTCCAGGGTGAATGTGTGTGCTTCAGTTACCTTCATGCTGCTCCTGCATGAGCACATAGAGCAGTCACTCACTGTAGCTTTACATTACAAAACGTTGACTTGTTACTGGTGCTGATAAAAACCATGTTAGCAGCAGCAGGAGCAAAATAAGGAGTTAATATACAATAGTGTCCTCAAAAGTTCTAAATTCACATCAGCACTCGTAGGTAAGCTTTCTGCTTTCTTACTATTGTTTGCTTGTCTTAGCTAATGTTAGGTGCCTTGCTAGTAGTTGTTGAACACGTAATTTCAAAACACCAGCTGAGTTTTATGCATATTTACCATCTGTGAATGATGAGATAACTTCAGGCCAATGAGGAACAAAACATCTTTGATCAGAACTGAGAGATACAATTACCTAACCCAAATCAATATGGCCAGCCTTTAAATATTGATAATTTTTATTTTTATTACTGTTGATCTTAATTCACATGTATCTCTCTGGTGAGGAGGAAAAGTTTGGTTTAATAGCCTTTTAAAAAATACAGTATGTATAATGTATTATTTCAAAACTCTGAACTCCTTTTAAGAATACTAACATTCATGTTCTTTAAATCATGCTCTTTAAATCATGCTCTTTAAATACAAAAGTAAATAGAGTAAACATAGTATGTGTTATGGGTGGTTATAAACCCTGAAATAACTGCTTTGAGCAAAATGAAAAAGCAGGATAGCTGAGAAAGGGATTCATTCTAGTCATTAGTCATTTTGTACAGAGAATTTAAGAAAAATACTTCTATGTTAAAAAGAATCAGTGAGTCTTTCAGTTGTGTATTTAATAACAACAGCACAGAAAAAAACTTCATGGCATTCCCTTGTTCTGCCTTTTTTCACTAACAGACAGCCTGGACCTGAATGCAGAAGAAAAGGCTGCCCTGATTGCCAGTACCAAGTCTCCCATCTCCTTCCTCAGCAAACTGGGACAGAGCATCTCTCGCAAGCGCACTCCCAAGGTAACCAGGCACTGCCCTGTCCTGCTGGCCAAGCAGTGCTGCTGAAAATGCAGGTTGTGGGACACATATTGAGAAAGTAAGGAAATGACAGCCTGAAAAATATTCCAGGCTGGAGCTTTTCAGCTCTGTTCCCAGCCGATAAGCTGGTCCAGATCAAGGCTAGGGAGAATTTCTCCCAGGGTGAGAATTTGGTCAAAATAAAAAGGAATTAATAACAAGATAGAACACCTGATGTGGTGTGTGACCAGGCCCTGGCAATGGGGTGTCTTCTCTCTGAACCAATCACCTTTTCCTCTACTCTTGGAGTTGCAGTCATGCTATAAAACCAAGTGTGTTTCTGAATAAACTTGGCTCTTTCTTCCTGTCATGTAAGGCGACCATGTAGTTGTGCATCTTATTTCCACTGCACTTAAAGGGTTAAAAGCTCTTGGTGTGGGACAATACATGACATTTATGACTGCAAAATTGCATCTATAGTATGTACTCTCAGCAGTGTATTTCAGTCTTCAAATCTTAGCCTTGTGGTAGTATTTGGGCATATGTTTTCTCTTGGAGCTTAGTACTTGCTCAGTTTTCAATGATTTGAAAGTGTTGAATAATTGTTCAATTGAAGGTAACAATTCCCTAAGGAGTATCTAGGAAAAAACCCTCTTTTCTTAAACAAATGGAGAATGAGCATAAGGAATTAAATAAGCTTTACAACTAAACTGATTAAGTGCATTGATGACACTTATTTCAGCCTAGAAAAGTACGAGACTCATTTTTGTTTTCTTTCCCCTACTCTTTCTGTTTTCAGGACAAAAAAGAAAAGGAACTAGATGGTGCAGGAAAGAGGAGAAAAACCAGCCAATCTGAGGATGTAAGTATTACAGTGAGAGGTGTCAGGGAGCAAAATAAATGGTAGGTACCTTTTTCCCACTTCAGTTCTTTCATTTTTTTTTTTTGTATCCAGGCAGGATTTATATAGGGTTTTTAGATTAAATTTAATTTTTCTTCAGAAGTTACACTTTCACGGTATTTTTAGTGCAAATATTTTATTAATGTTTATGAAAGAATACTGCATAACAAATGAAGTGTTGCAGTTCCCTGATATTTTTTTTAAATTGCAAATTACTGTGGTTTGAGGACGTCAACACTCAAAACTTCTTAGTAAAGTCATGCAGTACTGTCAGAAGCTTGATGCATATTTAAACTTTGTGCAAAAAGCATACATTTCCAGGATGCCTCATAAAGCAATCTTTCAAATTCAGTGTTTGTATGGATACAGGTGAATTAAAATTCAGTGCTTTGAGTTGGTTGTTTGAAGATAGGCCTTTAGTTTATGTCAACACCTTCACAGGGGTGTTTCAGCTGAGGCCTTTTTGGTAGGTAAGTGTATCAAATAAGGTTGAAAAGATCAGTAAAGTTTAACAGAACATTTGATGGCTTGCCAAAGGAAATTAAAACCTGAGCTTTCAAGTGAGGCTAAGAGATTAATTATCTGTAGTGTGAGAGACTTTTCACAGCAAAGGGGTAGAAAGGGAAAGGGGATCTGGTTGTATCTTGTTCAATTTTGATGTCGCTGACTGTTAGGAGGATCTCCCACGAAGCTACAGAGAAGAAAGGCCCACCCTGGTGAGCGCCCTAACAGAGAGGAGAATCGATGCTGCCATTGGGAATCAGAACAAAGTCAAGTCCATGGCAACCCAGCTGCTGGCCAAGTTTGAAGAGAATGCACCAGTGCCATCCTCAAACTTACGGAGACAGGTAGGAGATGGATAATAAACCCCTTTGTTTTGGAATTGTAGAGGAAAACCATGAGTGATAGCACACAGCCCTCAACACTGGATGCTGGTGGTGCCTTTCTACTTCAAAGGCTCTGCTAGAGAAGAGTGAAGTTTACCCAAAGCTTAAAATTTACAAGTACAGTGTGGAGAAGAACTTCCTAGAAAAGGTCTATTTCTCTGTTACTGCCCTTATTATGTAATCTTTCACAAACATATTACCTGCAATTTAGTGTCTTTTATAACTACTATTGCTCTTTAAAAGCTTTCCAGGAATATTCTGCTTATACTGTTTAAGAGCAACCATTTGATTTCTGATTTGAACATTTTCATATCAGGTTGTATCTGTTTGTTCTTGTGAACTGTGATTAAGCTTTGTACATGTACATATGTGCAGCAGATAAATGCCTGGGAGTTGCTTGGCAATCAGGATGTTTGTGTCATTCCAAGTGAGGCCTGTTTGTTATCCAGGATGGTATCTGAACTGCTGCAACTGCAGGGCAGTTGTCTTTGAAGTTCGATTGAGTCACTGGAAGCTGCTGCTGGCAGTGCAGTGTCAGCTGGATGAGGCTCAGTGTGGTTTAAGTGCCAGAGTCCTTTCTCTGCTGCATGAGTCCATCTCCACAGCTTGTGCCAAGCTCTGTGCTGCCGTGGCCACATCGTGAGTGGGACCTGACCTGCCTGAAAGCCAGGTCAAGTTTGTCTATGCCACACTAAACATCAGCATTAGTAGTGTAACATCATCAGAATGGTGATGTCTATCCACACAATAAAATGTTTCTTCAGCTGCTGCACATTGACTGGCATACTCAGCCAATGATTTGAAGAAACAATGATATTAAAGGAAAGGTCCAAAAATATGTGAAGTTTTCCATTTTTGGATGTTTGGTTTTTTTCCTTCTTATATTTTACTTGCTAAATGAATTCCCCCCTACCCTATTTTTTTTTCTTAAATGTTTGTCTGTCTTATTCTGTATTCCATTCCTATGGCTTTCTTTGAGTTTCCTTCACTATTTTATCTTTCCTCCTTGGTCCTACCTTTCCTACAACCTGCATGCAGCAACCTGTCCTGCCTTATCAAGAACGTGTTCACAGCCAGCCATCCAGCAGACGAGAGCAGGGCCGGCTGGCTCCCATACCCCAGTGGAAACAGGTAAAGAAACTCATTCTGACCACAGTGCATTGCCTGCACCCAACACCACCTGTCCCTGTTGTGTTTTTAAGCCAGTCCTTTGCCAGCACCTTGTCTGAGTCCATTATTTTAAATAACTTTCAGTGAATAAAGACAATGTCTCCCTTTGGTAATGATGCATGGTTTAATGTTTCAAAAATATTTAATCAAATTTTCCCTGCCCTCTTATGCTAGTTTCAGCTTACCAAGGCTTTCATGGATGTTGCAACAGAAATTTTTGCTATAGAATTTCTAGAATCTTCTGTTAGAAATAAAGGAAGCATTTATGGAAACTGATGAGGTAAAAGAGGTCGTATCTATGATATTAAAGCTCTTCCTTGATATAAACATTAAAATTGGTTACCAGTTTTGCTATTCCTGTGTGAAATCTTAGGTGTTCTGTAGTTGCAGGAGACTTTCCTGTGGTTTCTCTTTCTTTAATGATACTTTCTTTAATGCAACTTTCCTTGCCAACTTCTCACACTTGTTTCTGTGAATTCAGTAAATTTTAGATTTTCTTCCACGAAGGGGTTCAGAATAGGGACCAAGAGCAGAAAAATCAGTAGGTATCAAATTTTATTTTCTCTCCAGCGTTTTGGGCCATTGTCATTGCTGCTATTTTTCTTTCAGCCCTGTGCTTTCCAAAACTAAGGCTTCTATAGATGATCTTTTCAGGCATTTAAGGGTACTTATCTCACTGACTTCCTCTGCTTCCACTGTTTCCACTGTGCAAGTGGCCTCCTTTGAGAGTGCTCAGAAGTATTTTGCTGACAACCATAATTTGGAGAAACATCTACTTCTTTGTGGCTGTAGTTTAATCAGAGCATACTTTCGGAGTCAAGAGGAAGAAGATGACACTAGTTTGGAAATTCACTGTTCTTGATGAATATGAATTCACAGTGATCTTCGTGTATGAGGCATTCAGCACAATTAATGCTGCATGTCATGACTGGTGCCATGATTCAGAAGATTTCTCTTCAAGGAAGGAGACCTAAGCCCAGGGGAGTTATTGTCAGTAGGACTGTCAGGATGCTTTGGTTTCCTGACTCAATGTTTGTTCTTCTACTTTTTGTCTCATCAAAATCTTTATAGGCTAATGAGCACTTTGAGATGGATTCACATCATTCATGATTAAGGCAAATTTTATTTCTCAAGAATACTTAGCAAGGCTGAAAAAAAAGCTGTACAGTATTAAGGGAGTTGATGAGCACTGCTTATATTACCTGCTGGAAAAAGGAAAACTGGATTGCACTGGCTGTCTCTCTCTCTCTGTATTAGCACTTGGAAAATACCACATTCCTGCACCCTTGAGATTTCTATTTGAATCTGTTACTGAAAGTTCATGAAGACTTTATAATTAAGCCTTTGTAGTGAAACACAAAAGTTCTTACTGTCATCCTTTTATCATTGATAGAAAAACAAAGGACAAAGTTTTATTTCCTGTTTTTATTGAGGATTTTTCTCCACCAAGGAGCAGGGGTTTTTTGTTTGTTCTTGTTTATACCAGCACTACACAACTTAAAACAAATTTTTTAAAAGGAAGAAAAAAATCCTTCTGCTCTGCCTTGACGTCAATAGCATCTTTGTATAGGAAGCAGTGTAGGGCATATCTTTGAAAAACCTTTTTGCAACAGTTTTACTCTTTTTTCAGAGGATTTAAATTATTTTTTTTCAACACTGGCAGTGATTGCCTTGTGTGGATGATTTCCCTGTCAGTATTACACATGGAGATGATCTTTCCTTGATTGGCTTTACTGTGTCAACAGAAGATGATTGATTCCTGGGTCCGGATTTCTTGCAGGATTTTCAGTGCTTATGTAATGAAGAAGTATAAAACTGGGTCTCAAGGATGCAAAATCTGCAGGATGCAGAAGGATCAAAACCCCACTGATAGGATCCCTGTTCCAAAAGTTCCTTCCTGTGTGCCTGGGGAAGGGAAGATTATGGGTTACCTTCATTCAAAAGCCATGGATGTGCACTGAGCTGCTTATTCTTGAGTGAACAGAGATCAGCTGAGAGCACTGAGCCAAGCAGCCAGCTTTACCAAGCCTGGACAGAAACCTCTCCTGCAGGAAGTTGTTGCTGGAGCAGTACCTCTAGTGGCTGCTGAGATTTCTGGTTGCTTAGGCAGGCAGAACCTGATAGCTGTGAGACTGCACCTTTTGATGGTGCTGGACTGGCCTTCCAGGGTGACATTGGTCACTCTGGCTTTATAGCTCATCCCTATGTGACAGACTGCCAGCAGGGAAGTGCTGCTGAGCACCAGGACCTGTCACTGAATCACAGACTCACCGAGTTGGAAGAGACCTTCAAGATCAGAGTCCAACCCTGCCCTAACACCTCAAATAGACCATGGCACCAAGTGCCACATCCAATCTTTTTTTAAACACATCCAGGGATGGTGACTCCACCACCTCCCCAGGCAGACCATTCCAGTTCTTCATCACTGCACATGCTGTAAAGGATTACTTTTGCTTCTGACAAGTTCTTTAGGGAGGATGTATGTTTGGTAGAAAGACCTGTTCATGAAGCTTTTGGAAAGATTTCTCTTTTGGTACAGGTGCTGAAGTTCATCAGCAGAAGCTTCTGCTACTAATTGAATATATCACATATCAAATACCTTCTAGTGGAGAGTGCTCTGAAGAGGAGCAAAGCAGCTCCTAAGGGGACAAAGCAGGGCTATGTTACTGAGAGAAACCATAGGTTGCCTAATGTTCTTACTAGTGGCAAAATGAACTTCCTTCTTTGGGAGAAAAGCAGTTATATATGACTGACAGGTTTGGTTCTTCCTGTCCTGTGGAAACTGCATGGAAGAGGAAAGTATATGCAAAAGCATAAGAGTGGTTGCAAGGAAGAATTGCAAAGGAAATGGTCTGGGTTGGACCCACAGTTCTGATGAGAAATTGGCATCTGCCTTGGGGTATTTCCTGCTGGTGTCTGTCAGATGGAGTTCCTTAGCTGTACTTGCTTACCAGTTTAAATCTAGAATCTTGCTTTACCCTTGAATTCAGGTATTAGCTGAGCAGTTTCCATGAGCTTGTAAGGCAAGATACTTCTGTGTGTTGTATATGTGGGGTAGGGGTGGTTTGCTAAGAGAGAATTCCTAGAAATAGTGAAATCCTGGAAGAATCTGTTCTGAAGCAGTTTCTACTTCCATCACAAGAATTTAATGCTGTCTCTCTTGAAAGGCAATACCTTCCAAAGAGCAAGGGGGTTAAAAAACTCACCAATCTGCTCCTCACAGCATTCTGTGTGCCCTGCATCTCTTGGGAATTGGATTATAAAGTTGGATTTATTGAGTTACACTTTGAGGATGTTGACTTGTGTGGTCAAAATTGGTTTTGTGTTCTTATGAGCATCACAGCTACATCTAATGATGCACGAAGATATTGGGAAGTGAATGTGCACAGTGGCAATGTAATTATTTTTATATGATGGTAATATCACCTGAAAAGGCTGGATTGTGTTTCATGGTGTGGTGGTTAATCTGAAATGAATGCCTGCTTGTATAAGAACATCTTCTATCCTGTGCTCTATTGCTTTCTGAGCCATTTTGGCTGCTTTTGGGGAAGAGCATCTCATCCAGGATCATGAAGCCATTGAAAGCCATATGGTCTATCCAGAAGAGGTTCTGACTGGGCATGGTGTGAGAGACAAGCCCTTGGAACTGAATTTTGCCCTGGATTTCCAGACTCTGAGCTTATAGCCTTCAGAAGTCTTCTGCTATTGTTCTGTAGGTCTCCTGTCAGCAGCAACTTTTGTGTGTAATACATAAATCATGTTTGATGTGTACAAAGATACTTGTACATGGACATCCCATGTCTTTTGGTTGCTCATCTCTTCTGCCTCAATATTTGCTGCTTATTCTTTTGAGACCATTCCCTGAAGTGTGATAAAGGGCAGTAGTGCAAACTGCAGTAATTTTGTTGGAACTGTATTTTTTGAAGAGAAGTGATGACTGAGATGACCACAGACAGCAGGAGCTGAAACCTCAACAGGAGAGAACTTAAAACACCAGTGACTTCTGCAAATACTGCTTTTTTACCTTAAATTTTTAATTTAAATCTGCTGGGTTTTTTTCTGTTTTCCTATAGTCATCCTTTTCTTTGTGTGCTCAGAAATAGATTCTACTGGAGGACTGCCTGAACACATACTTCATGCATTCATCCAATGTTATATTCTGAATTTACCTTGGAAAAATAAGCAAGTTTGTGAAAATTTTGACATTTGAAATGCAAACTTGGCCATGGACAGATGAAAATCCATGAGCAGCTTTATGGCTGAGAATGCTGCCATGCTTTCAGTTAGAAATTAGTGACTTCATAGCTAAGCCTTTTGAAACATCATATGAATGTTCCTCATCCAGTGCAGTGCAGTCATATGCTTTAGTTTAAGCTGCTTGTAGCATCTGTTTGAGATAGAGGAGTGCACTATTTATTTAACTGTTTTGTTGAAAAGAGAGCACCCAAACAGATGTTAGTGCCAGCTCATCTGCAAGGGCAGTAATAAACATCTGTAATATCTCTATGCCATGTGCAGTTTTTTATCTAACAGCAGCTTTGGGTACACAGCATTTGTTTTTTCCCAGTGCAACCATTTCCAGATATGCTCTGGTGAGAACTCAAAAGGAAAGGAAAAATCAGGAAGAAGACACATTAATAAACAAGAAATGGTGGAGAAAAGACTGTACGTAATAAGGAGGTACAGCACTAGAAGGGCATGTTTTCTGGTGTGTTAAATTGAGGACACTTATGTGCATTGTGTAGTATGCAGACTATATAAATACAGCTCCATTTTATCTATAAACCAGCTGGATTTCTGTTCTAGTAAGATGTAGTGCATTTTAGCTTGCCTGAGGTGATGTAATGTCTGTAAGTTAGAGAGGAAGGATCTGAAGCTGGGAACAGAACACTGAGACTTGAATTGTATTAGTACTGAGCTGCAAGCAAGAGTAATTAGGTCAACAGGATGGATATTTTTAAGCATTTTAAGGCACAGCAATAAGTATTTTTTATGAAGCAAAGAGAGCAGTCTAATTGTGCTATGGAGACTTCCAAGTTTTGCCTTTAACTGATTGTAAGACCTTGACTCAAAAGCTGATGGTTTAATTGCTGATTGATACAAGTCTATGTTCACTGACTGTCAAATGTGATCGTGTGGCTCTGGGTACAAACTTGGGTGTCTCAGCTTCAGATTCACTATGCTTTCAGCTCATTTGAGAGAGGTGTGGCCTTAGGATCATGGTCTCAGTTCATGCATCCTGGCCTGTCTCACCAAACCAGTGGTAATGTTACCTCTTTTCTACCATTATTAAGATTTTTTTTTTCCTTTTTCTGTTTCAAAAAAAAAGATGAGGCATAAGGAACGTTCTCGGACCTGCCCCAAAAAAGTGATCATGCTCTCTTCTTCCACTCCATCTTCCTCTCCACCGTATCCCAGGCAGCAGGTGATTCCCTCTGCATGCTCTGTCCCTTTCTCTTCATTGCTGCTTGTACAAGTGACTAGCTCAGTTACCAAATAGCTAATTTACAAATACATTTCCAGTTTTCTTTCTTTCAGGTGCTGATAGGGAGTTTTCAACCTCATAGGTTAGGAAGATAGGGCAGCATTCACTCACTGAAAGCATGAAGAGTCTCCACTGGAGACTTTGAGATTTTGCTGTAGGTGTATTTTTTATTACAGTACCCTTTCACAATTTTGAGATGCAGCAAAGTAGAAATTAAATGTTTGGAGTAATGCAGGAAAAGAAAATTAAACTTTGTTCTATCTCCATTCTCCGTTTAAAGAACTGTGACTGAAAATTTGCCCTTGAACCCATGTAGCTTTTTTTAGGATTGCTTATCTGAAGTGGTTTTTGAGTGTTGTAGTGGCCTGCACATTTGCACTGTGGTTCTTCTGTTTCTCCCACACCAGGCTCTTGTCTCAGTCTGACTTTGAGCCTGGAGCACTGAGAGCTGTTCTGAGCACACTGTATAAATGTGTATCCATATGTTTGTGCACATGTATTTGTTGTCCTAGTTAAATATTACCTGAAATCCTTCTAATATTTCTGTCTTCTTGTATATTGTCATTGTGTTTCTTTGAGTTGTATCCTTTTAAATTATTTATTTAGTTTTCCTACTTTCAAATCCACTTCTTGATCAATCCTGAACTAGAGGTCCCTAAAAGGCAGTTGCAGTTCCATAGAGCTGTCATGACAGTACATAGGGATTGTACAAATTAATTTCCCCAGAGATGGAGCATGTTTCTTTGCTGAGCTCTTTTATGCCTATAACTGTAAAGGAGCATTACCTTCTAGAAGAATAGACAGGTTTTATTCTCTAGCAGAAAGTTTGACTTGCCTTATTGCTGTGATTTCTCGAATTTTAATTACATGTTGCAGTTTATCTGGTCTAATTATTGTCAGTCTCCAGGACACACATTCTTTGCTGCCTCTGTGGTGTCTGAATCTACAAGATACATCAGCTCTGCCTACTGATCCCATTTGAAACTGATCCCATTTGAAACTGTCCTAACAAAAAAGGGGGTTGGTTTTCTGCCACACTGTGAACAGCAGACTTTTCAAGAAGGATACAGGGGAGGACATCTAGGTAGACTGGGTGAGGAAAGCCCTTTTCATTAGCAAAACCTGCATTTAAACTGCAGTGTACTGTTATCAGATTGTGATAGCTAACTGCCTTCCTTGTGTCAAAATCCTTTGACAATTTTGTTGGATACATTTTATAAAAGAACAAAAGTTCTCCCCAGTCTTACAGGTAGAGAAACTATGGCAGTTAAATGCTGAGTTTTACTTTCTAATCTATAGTGTGGGATTCATTTTCCATGTAGAGAAATTTATTTTGACTCACTAAGGATCTGGTAGCTCTATATTTTCCTTCCTCCAAGTATTTGTTTGTCCTGTGTCTTTTTGGTTGCCTAGTTCAGTCATGAAAGCCAGCTACTGCCAAGTGTATTTTGACCATTTTCTATGTTGTCTCCTATAGAAGTCTTTCTTCTTTTAATTCAGGAATTTTACTCTTTGTGCTCCAGAACTTTGTGCTCAGTTGTGTAGTCTGCTTTTGGAGGCATTCTTTTTCCTTAGGAATGATTTTTTTTTCCCCTGAAATTGTCTTGGCCTAGGCCTCATAGCAAGTCAGCTGAATCTGCATCCTTGTTATGCTGGAGCCTTTTAAAATCTTTAATTCTACTCTTCTACTGCATTTATTCTGCCACTTCTTTTAAACTTTCCATCTCCTTCCTTTGAACTAACATCACAGTATGAATTATACTGAGTGTCTTACCATCTTTATTGCACTAATTTGATTACATTGTGGTATTGTGTTGTTGTTTATTGACCTAAGATGAATATATACTTTTTAAAAAAAACTCTCTACAGGAGCCAACTTGTTATTGCCAGGTTTAGAATATTCTTAATAAACTTCTGCTCTTGTTATGGCTTCTTTTCTGCCTGCATCATAAGAAAAATCAGATAAAGTGTGTTCTGATTAGAAAGTTGGTCTGTCATTGTTTTTAAGCTCACCATTTGTTGCCTGCAGAGATTCAGGGAACCCGGTTCCGGCTATCTCGGGGAGCAGAGTCCCAGACAGGAAAGGGTAAAGAGCATGAACACATGGCATGGGTGCTGATGACACAAAGCTGTGGTGGATGTGTGCCATACAGAGGTCAAATACAGGGGATGGTGAAGCACACTTACCCAAATGCTGCTGTTAACACGCTGGAACTGCTGAGAGTGTCAGGAGCGAGCCTTCCTGTGTGATACCCACATAAATGCACAACAAGCCTTCATCAACAGTTTGCTATATGCTTTTATTTTGCCCTAGGTCGAACACTTGAGCTCTTGTCATTCTTCTTTTCCTCTTCCACCTCTTTAGTGAAGTATGTTGTGGCTGCAGCACAACAAGAAGAGTTATGTTTTGCGCTAATTCATGCGAACATGGTTGCATTGTGTTCACCGCTTGCTTTCTGGGTGGTTAAACAACTGGCATTCCATCTTCCCTCCTACAGGCCAAAGTAAAAGGAAAAATGATGAGGCATTATTTAGTGTAGAGACTTTGAAGCTTTCTTAACAATGAAATATTCAACAGTCTGTCTGAATGGCTCAGTATTATACAGAAGCATGGGAAAAGAAAAGATAGGCACTCAAAAGGACCAGTTGATTTGAATTCATATTGACAAATTAATTGACATTGCAGTACAGGCTTTGAATGAATTAAGTCATAAATGGGAGGCAGCAATAAAACTGTTGCAACTTCCAGAATGTGTTCTAACAAAAGCCTCTTGTAGGCTGAATGTTTTCTGACAGGCAGTAGAAAATGAATACGCGTGTCTGCAATGACACAGAACCCACAGCTTTATAATAGGCCCCAGTTTTAGTGAAAATGATCCAGTAGGAAGGAGTAGGTGGAATAGAAAGCAGCTTAAAAGTAGAGTTTATTATTAATGCATCTGAATGGGAAAAGTGTTCCTTGTAAACAGGGTGTGAACCCAATTTTCTGTTCTGCACTGGAGGACAATTAGTAGTACAGAGCAGCACCCTGGCATTCTTGACAGATCACGCCTCAGATTTCTTGATGCACATGTTTGTAGTTCCTGGTCCATTTACTTTTGTACTCTACAAACAAATTAGCTGAAGGCTGTGTGATACTGCAGTGATAGGCCTGCCTTATACAGCAGGCCACCTGCCAGGTCTATTTTCATGTCACTAAGTGCACCACACAACAGTTTAGGAACATTGATATGAAAGACCAGAATAGCAGAGGTGTCAAATATTGTGCCTGGAGTGTATTGACATGGTCGTGCAATAAGAACAAGTAGGACAGTGAAGTTGCATAAGTAAAACTGGCAGCTTCTGTGAGTGTTTGATTTTGCTGTTCTTTGCTTTATTTGGACAGGCTCATTAAACATGCTCTCATTGGCATGTAGAGTATTTACTTTGTATATACCACCATCTTTAATGAGAACTGAAGTACATTAGCCTAAAATGTGTTTCTGTACACAAAATCTAAGAAACAAGTAAGTGCAGTTTGAGATATTTAAAGGAAATCCTTCAGAATGGAGAACTATGGGGAAATAAAGTGACAAATAAGGCTCTTTGTGCATGATGAAGCCACATTTGAAATTTATTTTTTGATGGTAATGCCAGAGAGAGAGGCTATGTGCTTGTTTGATTTTGGCTGCAGCAGTCCTAGGAAGAGTTGTGAATAACAATTAATTCAACCATTTTTTCTTGCCCTTGAGGGTCAAAATGTAGCACTTCATTAGAACAGTAGATATTGGGGGAAAAAAACCCCCCAGTTTTCACAAGAGAGCTTTTGTTACTGTTCTGCATGTGAGTGTCATACCTTTTGGCTGGCATTTTGGTGTCTCTTCCTTTTTGTGCTGGTTTGTTTATTGTTGCCTCCTTCCCCGTCTCGCAGAGATCTCCTCGTTTATTTTCTCATGACCAAGTGCCCATGAATGTTGAGCAAAGGGCATGTCAGCTGGCTGCCCTCCTGGAGTCCAGACGTGCACTGAGGCATCAGGTGACTACAGCCCTGCCTATCTGCTCTCCTGTAGCAGTGTGGGATTCTGGGTACAGGTGAAATCTTGGGTCAGAGAGAGAAAAAAAAAAAAAAAAGTCACCAAAATATGACCACTCTTCCACAGTCACGTGGTTAAAACAATTGTCTCGTCTATTTTGTGTAGTGTCTTTTCAACTTGCCATTTCCTAGATGTCTCCTGGTTTGGTGAGTGACCCTTTCTGTTCCTCAAAACAAAATATGAACAATGAAGTAAAAAGCAGCCTCTAGACTTCAGAGTAAATGCTGAAAACGAGCTGGGCTCTGGATCAAGCTATCTCACAGTGGTCGTTTAGCAGTCAGCCACTCACAGATTTTGCTTGCTTCTGGAAGTGAGAATATTCACATTTTCCAACCTGGCTCTGTAGTACTACTCTTGTGTCCATCCTTCCTGTGCAGTTGTTTCCAATGGTAGAGCTGGCAGTTTGTGCAGATTGTCTTTGATTCCAGTGTACACTTTTGTTTTGTTTTGGTTTTGTGCTTAATTTTCTCTCCAGTCTGTTGTCTTTGGGCTATGGGAGCATGCCAGTTTGAACTGTGGTTTCTTTGGTTGCTCTCTGTTTGCAGTTATCTTCAGAAGTGCTTGGCAAACTGCACAGTGCTTTTTTGGAAAGCGCCATCTACAGAAGTGGTTTTTTTTCATAACTTACTGTTTTGAGTTAACCATCCCAAATCAAAGCTGTCTTCTTGAGCTGGAGCATGAACAGTCACAGAACTTTTGCTGGTGGGGATAACTTTTGCAAGCCCTGCTAAAAAGAATTGTGACATCCAGGTCACTTCCCATTGCTGGTTTTTTTTGGGATGCCATCTTTTTCTGATGGTTAAAATCACAGAAGATGTTCTCCAAGAAGGAACAGCAAACCTTTGGCTAGATTTGAAATTTTGGGAACCAGCTATGAAGGCCTGAATAAGAAGATTACTTTAAATATAGTGGCACCTGTTTGTTAATGGGTGCCATGACTTAATATCTCGAGCAAGGTCCTCAATGCTCATATGCATTTCCTTATTCAGTTAAAATGATAATACAGAAATGAAGATCTAGACCAAAATACTTTGTTCCTACCTTTTGTAATGCTCTCTGGTATATTTTAAGCTCCTTCTGAGGCTGTAAAGGATTGCAGCATTGCAATGCAAAGATAGACATTATTTTAAAAATTGTCTAATTTCTGTGTTGTGCAGAATTGAAAAGGAGGAGAGACTGAGAACACAAAGTAGAGGAAAGCACAAAGTGGGTAGGGCAGAGGAAAAAGGAAACAGATGTTGGAACACTGCAAGCAATGATGGATTATGATGTGGGATTTAAGGGAAGAAAACAAAAATACTAAGAGAGAGAAGGCTTGGCAAAGTAAAACATTTTCAGAGAATAAACTTGATTAAATGTTGATGTACAGAAATTTTTTTAATGAACAATTACATTTCCATAAATTGGGGAAATTTTAAAAGCCAAGCTCTTTTGGATTTTGATCAGTAAATTTAATCTTGAGGTTAGTCTATTCCAAGTGGCTAGAAGTAGCTATTTTCATGGGTCATGCAATTACATGACATTTAGTTTTCCTTTTTATAACTAAAACCATAATTTATTTTGCAAAGAAAGCCAGTTATTTGTAATGTGCATATAATTTTTAGAATTGCACAGTTTCTTCTAGTGCTGTTTGTCTGATACTTTCAACTTCCAATTTTTTTCCTATTTATATGAAGTATTTCTTGGGAAATGGGCATAATCATCCATAGAGATAATGACAAGGGTATATTAGAAAACCAAATTTTGGGTTCTCCTGTGAGAAGTTTCAGGAGGATGCAGGTTCTCAGTCTGTGATTTATTCTTTGCCATTTGATAATCAAGCTCAGCAGATTATTTCATATTGATTCATTCTTTTTTTGGTTCAGTGTTTCTAATCTGCTTACAGTAAATTTTAGGTTGGAAATTTAGTGTTAATTACCGAAAATACATACAAGCTAACTTCTTTTTCTTCTGTCCCCCAGGAGAGTAGACTTTTGGTTTATATAGTTAAAATGTAGAATAGGTCTCACATGGCTTGAAAGATGATCTTAGTGCCTTGGGCCAGTAATAAGGAACAATGAGAGATACAGAAAGAGCAGAGGAAATTGATTTGGGGTCTTTGCCAGTGGATTAGGTGGTTGGGTTACAGGAGGTTGGACATCTGTGGAAGTAGGTAACTGCTTCCAAATGGTCCTAAATAATGTAAAACCTAATAAAGATCTGCCTCGCTAGGGAGAAAGTAAAGATACATTGGATATTTTCCTCTAAGTTTTCCTGTAACACACTTAAAAAAAATTATTCTTGATGGTAGCCAGAAAGGCCTGGGTTAGTTTGTTTGTTTTTTTTTTTTAATTTTTTCTTCTCTCTTAGAAGAGAACATGTATGATTGTGTTGATGTTTATTTTATGTTTTAGCCTGAGGCTGAGCCGTCGCGCCGATTCTTTGTTGACCAGTGGGAGCTCTCCCTTAGCCTCCGCTCTTCCAACCGCCCTTCCTCACCCTCCTCCGACTCTCTCCGACAGGTAGCCCTCACCTGAGCCCTCCAGGTGCACTCAGCTGCCTTTGCTTGCCAAGGACACCCCACGGGACACAGCCAGGCTGGCACTGCTTCACCTGCAGACCCTCTGTGCTTCCCCGTGCACAAAGGAGAAGCCAGAGGCAGCCCGTGCCCGGCACAGCTCGGGGGTTGGCAGCCATAAAGCAGTTTGAAACTAAACGTGTTTAACATTCCGTGTCCATGAGAAAGTTTGTGGTGCATCTCACACTCAAACCGGAGGTTTTGAGCACTGATAGTCCTTCTGGCTTTGCAGTGAAGCTTTCTGGGTTTGCTTGCTGCTTTTGTTGAAGTTTTGGGGCTAAACAACAGAATGTGTTTGTGCATATATGGTTAATGGACAGTGTGAAATAAAAAGTGCTTTGACTTTTTGAAAAATCACTGAGAATTTGAACTAGTTTATAGCTGTCCTCTGTAAACAGCAGGAACTTGATTTGACCTAAGCTGGAGCAGGTTCTTTGCCTCCCTTTGAAAATGCTGCAGAACATTGTGTGTCTCAAAGACCATGGGAAGAAAGATAAAATGCTTCGCTTGATAGCCATGATTAGGCCAGATGTGATGTGTAGGCAAAAAGCAAAACAAATCAGAAACACACAACCCCAAATGAAAAATTCAGCAAGTAAATTTTTCACACCAAATAGTCCAAGGTTCTGTGAGTTAACATACTCATTTTTTGAGCGTGGAGCTTCTTATGTGCTGGTAGAAATTTAAAGATCCTGAAGGATCTGCAGTTGAAGGTTTCAAATCAAAACTTGATTAGGGGAAACCTGATTAGGCCAAGTTTTTCCCCTGGAAATGCTTGATATCTCTTTTAAGAAAACTTAAAAAGCATTAAAGGTCTCTGATCATTCAGAGGAGATGGAAAACTCTTGGCCAAATTATTATGATTGCCAGTTAAAAATCAATGCTGAAAAAAATTTTAGAAGTGAGCATCACTTTAAATGTAGTGTTTGACAGGGTATATGTGATTGAAAAGCAACTCTGCACATATGTATGTGGAACCTGGAAAACTCTGAAAGACAAATAATTTGTTATTTCTTGTATATAGAAATACTGCAAGTGCTCTGCCTCTTGGAATGGAATCAGTAGACAGGTATAAATTCTTTCTGGGTAGAAATAAACCCTCATTACTGCAGTGACAAAGAGCTTAAGGAATTAGGACTGTAGTGACAGCAGCAGTAATCTCTGCCTGAGCACTCCATTTTCACTCTATAATCTTTTTTCCCAAAGAAGTACCCATTCTGTGGTGAAATTCAGTTTTTTGTTATGCTTCCTGCTGTTCTCATGTCTGAACTTGTGAGGGTTTTAAACATTTCTAGGAGGCTAATAACCACACATATTAAATTAGTTATTAGTTGTGGGAAATAACTACTGTGCTTCAAGCAAATTCTGCTAAACAAGTAAAGGGGGTTTTAAGTTACAACTTTCCTTTTGTTATCCTTGGCATTTCACACTTGCTAGAAGTTGAGTGGCTCTCTGATCCTGTATTAGTTAAGAACCCAGCTAGAAACATTCATAATGCTGCTTAGTCAGGAAAAGGGAAGTTGCTTGGCGTGCTCTTTGCTGCTCTGAGTCAAATCCGTGGCGTTTGCAGTGTGATTGAGCTAACATGGATGTAACCACCTCATTTTCTTAACCATGTAATTATTGCCAACGGTTGTGTTTCCTGTGAAAAACACTTCCTCCGCTCCTACAGTGATTGAACTTGGCTTGCAGACACTCATTTGGTACCATCTAAGGTAACAGCCAACTTGCCTAGACTGCTGAAAACACTGGAGGGTTTTTAGATATCCAGAGTTATGGAGTCAGTCTGTGCCTGTGATGGAGAAAAGCCAAGTCAAGTCATAAAGTCGTGTTCAGAGTTGAACAAATACATGTTCCAGATGTATGCAGGTATGGCTTTAATGCATTGGATGAGGCTCTTCCATCTTTTTCCATATAAGCCTCTGTGTATTTTTAGCACTGAAAGAATTAATATATTTGAATCACTCTGAGTTCTTTAGTTAAGGACTGCTCCCTGCTCTGTGAATGCTCTGTAAATTAATTCTTTCCAGGTGCAAAGCATACAAATGTACTGTTGTCAGTCAGCATTGCTGCATTAGACTTGGTAACGTACCTTCTAAAAGATCTTTGTTTCTGATGTCAATTTTACCTGGAACCTCAGATCTTAAGCTGTATTTAGCCTCATCTTTTAGAAGTGTCTATACTCAAGTTTCCAGGGATGAAATAACCCCACAGGTGAAAACAAGATCTGCTCCCTTCATCATCATAGTATTTCTGGAACACTTAAAACATACAAAATGCAAGCCTTCCTGTCTGTTCCTACAGGTGATCCTGGACTGTACTGGTGATTTCTGATGATACTGGCTTTGCTATTACTGCTTGTCACTTTATTTTGTTCACTGTCTTGGCATGATTTGACTTCTCTGCACCTTTTCACCATCTAATCTCTCATCATTCTAGTTATTTTTTTTTTAATTCGATTCTTTTTTTTCTTTTCTCACATCACTCTTGTTTTATTCAACCCATCTGATAGAAGTACATAAAGATGTACACAGGCGGAGTGAGCTCATTGGCTGAGCAGATAGCCAATCAGCTTCAAAGGAAAGAGCAACCCAAAACCCTTCTAGACAAGAAGGAACTGGTAAGATGATGTGCCAGAGGTGATGTGTGTTTGTGATTAGATGTCGTGTAGATCTCAAGTTTTGTGAGTGTCCAGTTGTTACACCACTGATGGAATCTGTCGTAGCTTTGTGAAGAGATTTTTGTTTCCCTTTCTCCATCCACCCTCACTCTTGTCCTCGTTTTCTTTGCCAAGTATTTTTAATCTAATGCCAGCATCCAAAGATTGTGCATAATGAATTGAGAAAACTCTTCTGTGCTACTTTCTGGAGGAGACACTGGTTTTGGTAACGTAGGTAAAAACTGCTGTTTGAGGGTGCTCTAATGGTTTTGCCTTGCTTCATATGCCTCCTTCCCTCACTGATTTCAGGGTCATCATTAACAGTACTGGTGTCCACTCATCTACCCAGAACTTGTTTTACTCCTGATACATGTAGGCATGGCATCCTAGGGCCCTTTATTCCTGGACAACAAGGTCAGTTTTTGGTGCCCTGCTTAAAACCGTGAGTTGTGTCCGAGAACTGCAGCAGATCCAGGTGCTCCCATATCCACAGAAACGAGGAGAAAACGTGATCTCGGTGTGTGATCCAATTGAGCCCCCCTTGTTTGTGTGCAGGGCTCTCTGAAGAAGGAGTTCCCCCAGAACCTGGGAGGCAGTGACGTGTGTTACTTCTGCCGCAAGCGCGTCTACGTGATGGAGAGGCTCAGTGCCGAGGGCAAATTCTTCCACCGCAGCTGCTTCAAGTGCGAGTACTGCGGCACCACGCTGCGCCTGTCCTCCTACGCCTACGACATCGAGGATGGTAAGGTGCACGAGCCTGACTGAGAGACACAGGCTTTCAGCCGGCTCCTAAAATGCTCTTTATTGCAGCTGAGGGTGGGGCTCCACCGACAGCCTTGCCCTGGAGGGATGTCCCCTGAATGGGATGTCCCTTGAATGGGCTGTGATTAGCTCATCTCAGCCCTCCCAGAAGGATACTCCTTAGGTTGGAACATCTTTTCTTGTCATGGTGAGCTATCCCCCGAAAAGCTTCAGTGATCCCACCGTGCCCTAGTACCCATGTTAATCATTTGTAACCCATTGGTCTTTCCCCCTTGGTACCATCCTTGCTTTCCCCCATAAAAACCCCAATTTTTCCCCCAGTTCCTTAGGGAGCTGTCGTCTCTGGCTGCCTTCACAGAGCTGCTGGATGATAAAAGAATCTCTGTGGCATCTGCATGCCATGCTCCTGTCTCTCTGTCCCTGAGTCAGCCTAGGATGGCCTCGAAAGCAGAGCTGAAATCACTGATCAGAGCTGATCACTTGTGGCCACGGCCACTGCTTGCTGAGCTGTATCTGGCACTAGGAGAACTGCCAGAGACCCCCTAGAAGGCAGTCCCTTGCAGGACCCTCTCCCTGGGAAGGTTGATGGCTTCCCAGATCTGGAGCATCAGATCTCCATGGACCCCCTAGTAGTCAACAGAGGGTCGTGGGTGAGCCCAGAGCTGCTGACTCTAGGCAAGCTGTGTGTCCTGAAGCCCCTCTAGTTCTGGTTACAGTGCATTATAAACTTTTCATTGCATTTCATACATGGCTACATCACACACAATACCTTTTACATTTACATATAACCTATCAAAACTGCTAAAATTACCACATTATGTTAGTAATTAGCCAGCCATCAGAATTAGTATTTACATGTTAAACTTTTGGACTTGTTCTGCAGTAGAAATTTTTGAAATCTTTTTTTCTACTTGCAACATTGGCTTTCTTGTTTACTTGTGAAAATCCTTTTGTTTGGTAAAAACATCTTTTGTTTGAGGTGGATTTATCCTTTGCTCTAAGCCATAAAAGCCCTTTTTAACTTAATTGCACTTTGCCTTCTAGTTACCCAGTCAGACTGGCTCAGCAATTCTTTTCTTCTATATCAAAACTTACTTTCATTCCTCTAGAACTTTCTGTATATCTGTAAAACCCCTCTGTTAAATTCTCATCCTTCCCAACAGTAAGGGAAATAGGAAATGGCCTCCAGCTCTCCAGTCTCTTCACTGGCCTGGGAGCTCTGTTGTCGCTTTGAAATTATTTAATGAGTTAGAGAAGAGAGTTGTTGGAACCCAGAAACCAGTGAGTTTTGAGCTTTCTGTGCTTTCTGGCACTGCCCCCCAGGAGAACACTGCTTTTGACCTGAGGCCTTGGAGAAGGCTTCCAAATTTGGGTGATGGAATTAAAATCATGGGTGTGCAGTTAGAATAAACGTGAAATATCACTTGGTGAAGGATTTGAATTTGGGGTTTTTAGAATATAGCAATAGGTATGGAACAAGATGGAGGTTTTTGAGTGTTGTCTCTTTCTGTCTTCTTCCTTCTTCATGATTTCAGGCAGTAGTTTCTGGCTGGATGGTTAGTGCTGCACTGCAGGTCACAGGAGTTTGGTTATTGGGTCAAAAGTATAAATAATATAGGTGTTAGCTCCTTTAGTGGACTGTTTAGCTTTAAAAGACCTTGTAGCTAGCTAAATTCAGCTCCATTTTGCTCACTTTTAGTTGGTAGCTAGAAGTGTTGCAGAACTCTCTGTACTTTAGATAAGATTTGATAAACAACCAAGTCTGAACACGTGAAAATTCATCTCCTTCGTGCGTTTAATCCTGATTCTGAGTGAAGATTAAAAAAAAAAAATGAAGACAAGCCACTAATTAGAGAGAGTAACATCCATTTCCCAGACACCATCTCTCAAGCTGTTGGAGCTTCATGGATTTCCTATGGTCAGGCCATGGCAGCAGCAGAGCAACCAAACTGATAGGAATTAATACAAAATTAAACAGAATTAAAAAGCATAACAGCTGCTGGCATGCATGGAAACAGATAATAACTGGAGGCTTTAAAAACCTGAACTGGCTGAATTTGAGGGCTAGACCTCTTGCTGTCCTCATTTGACAGTATTTAAATAAAATTCCTGAGTGTTTAATACCACTTAAGAGAAAATAGCAAGTTGGAGAGAAATGCAGTCAGCTTGTTCTTCTTGAAGATAGCACAATTGTCAAACTCTGTATGTTAATTTTAGATGTAATAAAACAGGGACTTCATAATCAGGGGCTGTGATAATAGGTCATTACAAGCTAAGTTCTGTTTATACAGAAAAAATGGAACATCATAGTTAAGTAGAGGTAAGTCAGTGTTGGAGAGTATTGTTGCAGTAGTTACTGAAGATTCAGTAATGGCTCATTTTCTATATGTGATAGACTGAGGAGAAAAGAATATATATATTACAGAACTTGCTGATGCCTCACTTAGCAAAATCTAACATGCTAAGAATTAAGGGAAGCTTCAGATGTACCCTACAAGTCTGAGAAACCAGACAATATGAAACTCAAGTTTATCAACAACCTGTGCATATTGAAAGCAGTAATTTAAGGTCATCCATCACTTGTGAAATGTGTTCTCCTTGTAAGGATAGCTATATATTACAATCTTTGTTTGAGCAGTGTTTGACAAAAATGTCACAGTTTCTGAAGAAAATGTATGAGAAAGTATTTCAGGTAAATGTTGATTCACACCAGCAGGTATTTTCTTACACAGATGCCTGTCTTTAGTCCAATCTCAGTAGGAAAACAAGTGCAAAATGTGTAAAAGGAGTGACAAGTAAGGTGCAAAGGATTTTATTTCAGACATGATGGTGTAGAAAACAAAATAGCAGGAAAATGGTGTTAGTACCAGTAGTTTTCCCCACTGATTGAGGCAAAAATGAAATAAAAATTTAAATTGATGACACTACAAGATATTCCACTGCAGATTGAAATTGATGGGTATCCACTCTGTGTAACTAAGAAGAATCTTTTAGTATACACTGGGTGGAAAAATGGCTGTGGAAATAGCATCTGATTTAAGGGGCAAAAAGAACTAAAACTGTATTCATAATGCATTATGTAATGACTTTAAGTAATGGACTTGCTGGGTTGTGAAGAGTTGAGGAAAATTAGAGTCATCAAACCAGACTCCTAGTAAGGAATAGAAACCCTTTTATTGCTTGTGTGGAAGGTCAGCAGACTTGGCATGCAAGTTTAAAGGGGCCAGTGGTAATTTTGAAATCAACATATAAAAGTAACGTCTTTGTCAGAAATCAGAGTTGGGGAAAAGCATTTTTTGAGCCCTGCTGTTATTTTGAGCACTCACAAGTAACTGAATATCTGACTGTGTGTTAAGCAGTGACAGACTGAGCTCTTCTCTCAGCTGTATGGGCTAAAACACTTTTTACCACCAATTTTTAGTGATTCCCTCTGCAAACATGCTTGGGTGTGCAGTTATGGCCAGATAGTTCTCAGTGAAGCAAACACAAAGCTTGGAGTTTCAGCAGGCTTATAGCATTCACTCTGAAATATTACATATAACAGTTGTGTGTATATGAAGCAGATGTGGCTAAACAGAAATCTGTGATATCCTATCTAATGTAATTGTTGTGAAAATGTAGCTTGTATTTCATTCTGAGGAAAAAAATCCAAAGCTATACAACACATTGTCACTGTTCATGGAGCTGTTTGGGCTGACAAGCATTCTGCAGCCTTCTGCAGTCAGTGTCTGGTTTTAGGCTTCAGAGTCTGAGAATTTTTGTGTAAGAGTTTTTCAGTTGTTGCTCATTTCAGACAATCTCAAAAAACATGTTTTGGCAAGAGTAAATATTAAGAAATACTTCTTGAAGTAAAGATTTCTAGAAAGATGTTTGTCACTTTTCTATCATGAAGCATTTTGCAAATACCAGCAGAGAGAAACTAGAGAAAGAGGCAGAGGTCAGAATATGTGTTGGAATGCACTGGCAAAGCTCTAGGAATGGGATAGCAGTGGAGGGTGCCATGGGCTGCATGTGCCAAGCAGGATACACTGACAAAGGTACTGTGAAGATAATTATGAGGCATCAGTTTGCTGCTTTTATTAGTACCAGTAGTATTTGCATGATGGTATTGCTAATGCTGCTTTGTCTTCCTGACAGTGTTCAGATACCAGTGAAAAACCTCTCTGGACTTCTGGGGCGTTAGTAAAACCAGCAGGATCACAAAAAAATCTTATTTGTGAAAATGAATCATTGTCATTTCTACAAGTAGCCACTGTGCATTTTGAGAGATGGTTCTTTGGGAATTAGCACTGTCCTCTCCCACTTTCCTCTGCTGGTTGTATTCATTCTTGCTTTTTCCAAAAGTGCTTCTGCCAGCTTTTCATGTGATGATGTCTTTGTTCCTCACACACTGCTGCATTGTTAGCATGTGATACCACACAAGCCTCACAGCTTTGCTTTGGTGTTTGATAGGATTTTAAACTAAATGGCTGTCAGGCACCCAATGGAAAGGAGGCTAGTTACAGGGGGAGACAGCAGGGCTGGGGCTAAAACTTCAGCCAGTGTTTGCCTCTGCATGTAGTGAAGAAATTAGAGAGAGCAACAGAAATGGCATCAGAAAATAAATTGCAATGAGATGGATATTTATATTGTGCTAAATTCCTGTGTTGCTGTTGCTGACCATTTGTGTTTTATCTGCAGGTAAATTCTACTGTAAACCTCACTACTGTTACCGAGTCTCTGGTTATGCTCAGAGGAAGAGGCCAGCAGTGGGTCCTCTGTCAGGAAAGGTAATTCATTATTTTCATCTAACATGCTGTGTTAATAGATTTTAATTTTTAACATTGAGAAAGTATGTGTGATGGTTTGGAGTTTTTTCAGAAAGTAGAAAAATTCAGAGTGCATTTAGTTGCTTTATATAACATGAAAGCTTGCAGTTCAACTAAATCTTATTTAAAAGCAAGTCCTCTACTTAGTACTACCCTTTTCATGGTACTTATCATGAAATGATGTGCTATCTTGCTCAAAACAGAATTTTGATAGTTTTTCTTGTCAGCTGAAATACTTTCTCAGTCTATGCTGAGACTAAATGAATAATGTTACCAGTTCTGGTTTTGCTTTATTTCTCCATGGTTTTACTTAAGATGAAATAAATTATTTGTATTTCTTTTGAAATATAAAGTTCTACTCCACTTGCATAAGCTATGGAGATCACATGCCTTCGTTTCTGAAGGTCTGCTTTGTGTTAACAGGAATCTGCATGAAAAGACAGAATATCCCCTTTCCTATACTATCGTAGTGGAAGTATTTGTGCTTTAAATATAGGATGAGGAGATGCTGTATAATACAGAAAAGTCCCTCAGCTTTTGTCCAATTATTGGAGATAAATTATGGATTATGTCCAGTTTTATATTTGTTATTTATTTATTTATTATATAATTATAAGCCAAGGCACCTAATTTTTCTGATCAAGCCCCTTTTCAGTATTTTTGTATACACTGAGCAAGCTACATGCTGGTTTCCTAAGTTCTGTTAAACTTGCATGCTGCAAACTGCCCTTCTCCCTTAAGTTATATTTTCTTTGTGCTAGCAGTGGTGCCTGTCCTTCTGCCTGATTCTCAGGTTTTATTAGTACAAGCTGAAGCTGTATTCTTTTTTGGAAGGATAACAGATCCATCCCAGTATGTGCCATACTTCCTGCCAAAAATAAAGACTAAAAACGGTACCTGTTTTATTTCCCAGAGGAGCAGACTTCAGGGATCTTAGTGCTTTGACTTTCTTGGCTATCCAGTGTGTTTTTCAGAGCTTTAATAAAGCTTTAAACTGAGAAGGAACTTACTTGTTTGTCAGACCTTGCCATACGCGATGCTTACGGGGCATCTCAATTCCTCACTCAGCGCATTCAGCACACACAACAATTTCAATTTTAACATGAATTTAACTTCCCCCACGTTCTTCCAGGACACCAAAGGACCTCTGCAGGACGCCATGGCCAGTGATGGGAACGGGAGGGCCAACAGCATCCCTGCCTCAGCAGAGAGGGCTCCAGGTAGCTCCGCTTCCTTCTTTAGCAGGGTGGTGCAGTACTCGCTCGGCCTCGTGGGCAGAGTTAGGGTGGTGAGCCAGCGCCTGCACAGCACAGTCTCCTCCATTGGGCACCACGTAGCCCAGAACCCTCTGGACTCCTTTTTCATGTGTCAGCTGCTGGCATTTGGGGTTCCCTTTCTCTATGTCCAGTCAGAAGTTCTCGGGCAGATCCTAGGGGAATTCTGTGGGCAGCCTGCTGACCAGTAAAAATTTATTTGTCCCGACTTGGAGCTGTGTAACTCGTTTGGTTTTTGTGGTGCCATGTGAATTTTGTGTGTATTACATGGAAATCTCAATATATTATTTTGCACTGTGGCTTTGGGGCCTAGATGTTCTCAGTTCTTTCAAGGACATGATTTGAATGAATTCCAGGAAAACAGAGATGCTCAGTTGAGGGTCTCCTCTGAGCCAGCCCAGATAAGGAGCCCTGTAATGTATGCAGCTCAATGTCAGTGAAATTAAAAGTTTTTCTGAAGCACTGGAATGGCTCACAAACTGGATTTCTGTGTTTTCCTGAATTCTGGGTGTGGTTTCTCATTCTCCCAAGCTTCTCTTTATTAATGTGGTACTTGAACGGGAAAGATCCCATTATCTTTGGATTGTGTCTCCTTTGGAATTCTGGGTGTCTGACAGCTAATGGGATTGGATTTCTTAAACCCCTTGAATTTCATGGTGCTGGCAGGTCATGGTGCTCTTCCCTCTGCCAGCATCTGTGCTGCTCCTGGCCATGGCTTTGGAAATGGGGTGGTGAATGCGTGTGTGTCTTACTGTGATGTAGTTTTCCCTTTTAACTTGAAATTCTAATTCCTTCTAACACAAGAGAAGTGTCTGTGCTACAAATGCTCGTTTGCCCGGCCCCCAAGTGCTCATTTTGTGATTTCAGAGAAAGGAAGTAATATTAATTTCTAGTACTTGTTCCAGAAGACTATGAATAAGCCAAATCAGCTGCTTTTAGAAAGGGAACATACTTAGAGGAATACTTTGAGAAAAGAATGTTTTCATAGTGCCAGTTGAGAAGACCTTAACACAGAAGCAGATAAAAATCATGGTGTTCTTTGACTTTATATTATTATACAAGTGTTTCTAAGATTGTAACTGAATGCCATCTGACAGAAATTTATTCTTAGTGTGTTGATTCTTGGAGTGTAGTTATTTTCAAGATTTCCTCCTTTGTGTGTGTGCAATTTCTATATGGCAAAAGTGAGAAGAGGGTAGAGAAGAATGATATTTGCAAAATGCTATGAACAGATGTGTGAACTACAGCATTTTTTTTGATAACTGGATGGATTTAAAACTGCCTTTTCTGAAAGTGAAAAAACTTGATTTTTTTGTAGTTTGGAGCATGTTCTTAAAGATAAACTGAAAAAATTATTTATTGATACACAGAGCAACTGGTGTGAGCATAAGGTGTTTTGTGGAGTGAAGCTGTAGGTGATGAGAATTGGAAGGAGATTTTAGTTACATTTATCAATTAGTTTATCACAGCAATTGCTGGCAGAAAATCTCCTTTGATTTAGTCCTTCCAATAAATCAAATTTAATTGCTTGTACAAAGGAACATTCAGCAAGTAGCACCTGAATGATCACTAAGTAGAGCAAACAACAGGGCATAGTGTGTGATAAACTTCTATAAATCAGACAAAAATCAGCTATGAATCAGATGTTTCCTTCTGTAGTGGTGGCACAATCCTGTAGCAGCACTGTAGTACTTCCAGAGGAGTAAGATGGAACAGACGCTATTTTGTCTAATGGCAAAACAAGAAATCTAAGGCTCCTTCTGTTTGCTTTCTGCTTTTTTAAAGCAGTGTATAACTGTAGCATAATATTTAGAGCTTTTGGTGCTTTTGAAGTTTTGCCCCTTGCAGTGGCCAGGGTGCATCAGGACGTGCTCAGCTTAGCTGGGTCACCTTTCAGGCAGGGTGTTGTGGTGCATTCTTGTGTGTGCATGGCAGAAGTACATTCAGTGGCAGAAGAGGTGAGCAGTGCCTCTGCTGTGCTAAAGAAATACCATTAGTGGCTGAGTTTCATTTTCTTTGTGCAGTATGATTTAAGCAAATCTTGGCACTACTGACTTAGCAATGGTTAAGAAGCAGGAGGAAGCTAAATGGAATATACTTTAAAAAAAAGTCACAGTGGCATTAAAGGCAGATCAGTTCTCTGTTAGAGTAACAGCCATGTCTTGTAGGTACCTACATTTAGCTCCTCTTCTTGCTGGATAGCTAGGTCAGGAAACCTGGGATGGGTTTTACAGTTATTTATGATTTGAAAAAACAAACCTTTTTGAACTACCAAGCTTATCTATACAGTGGAAGGACAGGATATTATTCCTGAATAATCAAAAGGAGTCTGTAAGATTACATCTCAGTGTAACTCCTGAATTTACATTATTTGCATATATGCTTTCTTACAAGCTTTCACTGTAGACTAGACAAATATCTCGAGCAAAAAGCTGTCTGAGATGGAGACAGAGGCAGAGCTCTGTTTCCAAGCCTCCAAATCATCCATCTGGTCAGTCACCTAGTACAGGTCATACATCTGAAAGTGTTTTACTTCCTTTAAGGCAAGACCACAAAATGGAATTTGGCAATAGCAATTTCAGGCCCTGAGGTCTGAGCTAATCCTCACCTCAGTAGTGAGGTAGGTCTTGGTGTAGAGTTGCCTCTGAAAGGATTAAGTAAAAGCAGAAAAGTGTGTAACATGCTCAGGTGTGATATTTGGTGGAGGTGTAAAGATAGCTTAGAAGGCAGAGGGAAGGTGTACAACAGTAACATCCCTTGTGGAATATATAAAAAGTCAGCCATTTTAAAATTTTATACCTGAGAGTTAAATTCAGCCCTGAGTTACCAAAAGTGCTTGTTTCAGGGAGCTTTATGGGAGCTCATGGCTTTTTAGTAGTTGTCATGAAATCCTTAGTGAGTGTAAATTGCATGGGTTTTCTCCCTACATTCACTGCCCCCTTTGCTAAACCACCAAACCTTTTTTAGCCAGCTTAATGCTTAAAATATATTCAACCACAAAATCGCCTTCAGCAGGTTTAGTCAGATGAGGTGAGATTGGTCACAAGCCCTTTCCTGTGCTGTCACAAACCTGTCTGGCACAGATGAACTTTGCAGAAGATGTCAGTCCCTGCCTGGGTGGCCACAGCCCTGGCTGGCATTCAGTGAGTCCTGTCTGTGCCTTGTGCAGCAGTGGTTGCAGGGCACAGTGTGATCAGCAAGCTGAGCTTTGTTCAGCTGCAATCACCCTTTTTGTGAGGGGTTTGCAGAGAGCCCCACGTGGCTTCTGCCCTGGTGCTTGCAGGGGAGGTCGTGGCCAAACTGGCTTCTGGAACCCTTCAGTGTGGGAAGTGGCAACAAGCTTTTGAGCAGTGGCTGCCATTCTCTCTGGGAAAGGGAAGTTGGGGACAGCTCTTCCTGTGCTTTTGGTCCTGCTGAACTGTGGCATGCTTGTCGTAGATCTGTAACTTTCTCTGTACCTTGTCTGCCTGTTTTTCTCTATCTTCTGCATTTGCCTTTGTGCCAAAATGCTGCTATTGCCAAAAAAAAAAAAAAAAAAGAACAAAACTTTTGCTTTTTGACTGTCTCTCCCTTTGATAATCTGTAACTGCTGTGTCTTGGAAATTTTTTAAAATATTATTTACAGTACTTATATTGTTTTAATGTGCTTTTAATGCAAATGCTGTTCTTCTGTTTGTTCTAAAGGTCTGTAAGAATGTTTCTGAATTTTCAGCTCTTTCTTGACAGATGGACTTGGAACAGTCTTTACCCCTATCAGCTTTATGATATGCTCCTTGGGGTGATGTTAGCCAGCAATGTTTTGTTGTAAAATATTTCCCATTTCAGACTCATGTTTTTACAACAATGCATTTCTATCCCTATCAGCAACAGGAAGTTCATAAAGGAAAGACTGCTTAGGGAAACTCATACTTGTACAGCAATAAAAGGCAAGTCATGAGATCTTTTGCTTTAGTTACTTGACCTGTGAAAGATTAAGAAATCAAACATAAGCAATTGTATGAAAAACTGGAAAATGCAATACAAAGTAGAGGTACTAGGACTTTTGCTTTAATATCACATAAATATGTAATGTATATGATATAGGTATGCAATCTGAAAAGTTCAAATCCTCCTATGGATGTGCCTTAAGAGTTTTCAGGGAGAAATATTCAGAGTTAAACCCTTCACAGATCCTTAAACAAGTACTGTTGTATATAGCAAGCAATATACATGAGGAAGTACTTTTGCTGACCTGAAGAGCTAGGAAAGAGTGGCTTTTTCCTCTAAATATCCTTTAAAGTAAATTAACTGAGCCACTTTTGGAAAAAGATCTTAAGTGTCTGTACAAGTATAAGGAATATTTTTGAATGCATCCAATATTTTTTGCACACAATCGAATTTTGTGTCTGAAAAAATACAAATATATTTCTGTTTAGGAATAAGCTTCTTGTTCATAAACATTGCCTCTGTTGTTCAGAAGCATTGCCTCTTCACCATTCTCCATACATTGAACATGCCTTACTTGTGAAAATGATTTAACTCAAAGCAATACTGTTTGCTGTGCAAACAAACATCTTGCTGAAGTCCTCTACTTAGTCACTTCTTTTCATTATTATTCACCTTTGGGTTTTGTTCCTGTTTTAATTTGGTCTAGCAATTTAAGTATTAAATTATGTAAGATAGCAGCAAACACATTCTGTGACGTGACATTCTGTTTGAGGTGCCTTCATTTTAAACCACTGAATGTTTACAACTATATCCTACTCTTTTCCCTACTAAAAATAAAAAAGAAAAAGGAAAACATTCATATTTCAGGATGTACCACCAAATTGGGATGAAAGCTATTTCCTCTACTAGCGTGCCTTGAATATTGTCTGTTCTGTTTGGAGTTGGTGTGTTTAGCAGGACATGGCACATGATCCTGAACCCTTTTTTTGGGGTGTCACACAACTGCAGAGAGATCTGAT